AGCCATTGTCTTTTCACCTCCGGAGAGATGCTCCATGTCTCTGAATCGCTTCAGCGGCGGCATGGCGTGATACTTGATACCCGAAAGATAGGGCGTGTCTGTGTCTTCCTCAATATCGAGGTACGCTTGGCCACCAAGAGGGTACGCCTCTGATCGAGTCAGGTCCTTGTAAACGTGCGAGATTTGTTCTTGGATGTGCGTAAAGGCCTTGTTGAACAGCTCGTAGCGCTGAGCCTTGACGTGATTGAACGCATCGCGGGCCGCCTTAAGAGCCGCTCTGGAATCTTCGAATTCCTTCTCCGTGTTTTTCAGCCTCGACTCAACGCTCTCGAGCCTCTCAATCGCCCTCATGTTGGGGTTGAGCTTCTCGAGTTCTGAGGCCAGAGATGCAATCTTATCCTGCAACTTCTCCTCGACACTGGCATCATCAGACTGCATTGAGTGTCAGCAAATTTTCACTAGGCTTCGTTAGAAAGGCTTTGCTTACCGTCTTCATCTCCTCGTCTAGGGCATCGTAGTCGATCTCGATGCCATGGTTCTCGAGAGCAGCCGTCATCATGTCTTCGTCGTCCACCTCCTCATCGACGTCCATGGCATCGGCATCTTGCCGCAGCATATTGTCCTCATTTGGCAAGTTATCAAGCGAGCCCTCGAGTAAAGGCACCTGGATCTGGTCAAGTTTGCACCGCCTGAGCAAAGCAAACTTGCCCGCGCTGTTCTTCTGCACCACAGTCTCGAGAGCATTGATTTCTTTTTGCCTGGCGTCGATTTCCTTGCTTCGCTTGTGTACTTCAGCCTTGGCTTGGAAGACCTTTTGGCTCTTCTCTTCCAATTTGCCACGGTACTCCTCGAGCGTTTCGCTAAGCGCATCGAGCTCGTCAGAAATTTCGTGACTGGAATCCTCAATGTCTGACTTCTCCCGTTGATAACTCTGTAGGTCGCGCTCAGCCCCCTTAAGAGTTTCTTGCAGCTTCCTCAGACGTTTTTCCAGGTTGCTATGCATGTCACGTGCCAAAGTAAGTTGACTCTGGAACCTAGACTTTTGCACCTCGAACTTGGTCCGCTCTTCGTCGGCTTCCCGTTGCATATCGCGGTGTTCTGTCTCGTAAGCCCGGATGTCGCTGAAACCGAGCCTCCTGCAGAAATCCGAGAACACCTCATCCTCCACTTGTGCAATGGCATCCGAGAATTCTTTGACCGTTCGTTTTGTGGCCTCGAGTTCCGCCTTCTTCTCCTCGTACTTGGGGTCTAGCTCATCAAGCTGCCTCTCCTCGTTGTCCCTCTCTCTCTTCTTCGAGTTGTAGTTCTTTTCCAAGTGCGCCAGCTCAGCTTTGGCAGCCGCAAGACGGGGTTCGAGGCCGTGGATCTCAATCTGGAGAGACTCCTCGGCAGCGCTACGCCGACCAGACTTGGGAAGCTTCTCGATTTCCTCCTTGTATTTGGCTGCCATCTTCTTCAGAGGCTCCAAGTCAGTGTTCTCGAAACGCCTCTTTCCACCCTTGTCCTGAGGACCACGACCACCAGTCATCATACCCGTCTTGTGGATGACCAAGCCGTCCAGAGTGACCGTTTTGACAGGGATACGCTTCTCGTACGAGATGACCTTTGCGATCTTCTCATTATCACAGACCACAGAGCTGCCACAGGCGTATGCCATGGCACGTTCGTAGGCAGCATCAAAGTCGATGGTGTCAATAGTCAACCGGGCTCCCGAGATGCCCTTAATAGCCGAGTTCACCGCGTTGACCTTGATGTTGTCGAGAGGAATGAAGGTCATGGGCGGGAAGCGTTGGTCTTTCAGGTACTGGACACACTCGTGGCCAGTCTTCTCCGTGTCGACAATGACTGAATCGAAGTCGCGGCCCAGTGCAATACCAACAGCCTCATCGAATTTCTTCTGTTTGGGCTTGCAGAGATCACCGATCCTTCCCTTGACGCCAGGATAGAGTCGCTTCAGGTTGTTGACCATTTCTTTCATCCTGGCTTCCCTGTCATTCTGTCTGCGTCCATCATCAGCCTCCCGCAGTTGCTTGGCCACAGTCTCAAGTTTTTCCTCTAACTCCGTGCGTCTTTGGCTGGTTCTAACACGCTCAGACTGGATTTGATGGTACTGCTTCTTTTTCGTGTCGATTTCCTGAGACAGGGCCTTGATGTTCCCTTCGGTTGATGACTTGCGCTCACCGAGAGTCTCCAATTCACCCTCGTATTTCTCCAGGGCGGCCGAAAGGGTGTCAACCTTGCCCTTGAGGGTATTGACGGTGACCTCATCAGTCTTCTGTTGGCGGATCAAATTGTCGAGCTTGCCTTGGTTGCCAGCGACCTTTTGGACAACCTGTGAGCGAAGTGAGTTGTACTCTTTGCGGTCGTCGTCACTGAGCTCCTTGCCCAGCTTCTTCATTCGTTCTTTGAGCTGCTTCTCGAAATGTTGCTGGGCTTTCTCGGTTGTCTTGAGTCGGGCCTCGTCTTCCTTGATGACCTCGGCCTGCTTGTCGCGCTCTTTGCGCACCGGCTCCATTCGCGAGCGACCCTGTTCAATATTGCGGGTCTTTTCCTCAATCTTTGCGTCAATGGGGATGAGCCGGTGCTCCAATTCGTCAAACTCGCGCTTCTTGGCGTTGATGGCCTTTTCCACTCCATTGACATCTTTTGCCGCCGCTTGCTGCTCTCTCTGGGCGGCTTCGAGTTTCCGTCTGAAGGATTCGACGTTGCGCTGAAACTCCTGCAAGTTCTGTTGGTGGTCGTGAATTTGCTCAGTAGACTCATCCATGCCACGTTGAAAGTGATAGAGCTTCCACAGAGCATGTTTGACGATAGCTTCGTCTCTCTCGTCCGTCTTCTTCTGGAAGTTATCTGCCTCCTTCTTCTGTTCCTGATATTGCTTGATCTCGGAGTTGATGCCGCGTCTCCGGTGAAGCTGAAAGCTTTGGTTCTCAGCAGCTTGCTCAGCCTCAGTCTGCAATCGTTCGTATTCGGCCTTATACTCGAGACTTCCGGAGATTTGTTCGATCAGTCTCGTGAGGTCTTGCGGTGATTGCGCGGCAATAGCTTCAACATCTCCTTGGAAGACAAGGAAATTTCTGGCCTTAATCAGGATGTTCTCGGATTCGAGCGCTTCGTTGTACTGCTGGGCTGTGACAACACGATCGTTGATGCGGTACTCGCTAGATCCCTGATTCGTGATGGAGCGCTTCCACTTTTGCTCGTCACCGGCATCGTCTTCATATACAGCCATGACCCATGCAGTCTTTGGGTCGGTCCTGGAGGCTTTTTGCGACAACTCGTCTCCGTCGCCGTTCGAGTGACCATTACTGCCATTCGCTTCAGCAGAGCCGTCGTCGTTGATTTTCGAGGTTTTCAGCACGCGGCCACGGTAGACCAGGTCCTTCAAGTGGGCTGATCGAAGATGCGACGACTTGATACCAAGCACGAAGGATATCGCGTCCATGCTGTCGGAAGATGCACATTAATTGCAAGTCAAGGCAGGGTATGCAATCGGGAAGACTCACGAGTTTGACTTGCCGGATCCATTGGGCCCAATGATGGAAGTGAAGTAGGAATCACCGAACAAGAGGATATGATGGCCCTTGTAGGACTTGAAGTCTATGGGATGACATGGTCAGCGCGAGAGTGGCATAGGAATGATGCTGGACTTGGACATACTGAAAAGCTCTAGGCGAATGAGCTTTCCCATCTTGTCGATGGGTTGTCGCTAGGCACGCGACGAGGATTGATTATGGGTGTCTGGTTGTGGTGGGCTTAGGTCGCCTCGTCGCAAACGAAATGAGGCGCGCAAGACGAGGGCAAAGAAGGTCGAGGCGGATGCCCAAGGCCTGGAATGCGGTACTAGATTGGACGAGGTGTAGGCAGAGGCTACGTTATACAGCAGTAGTCAAGTCGAGTGTTGAGGGCCTCGAGCTGGCCTGGCGCATCGCGAAGAAGCACTCGGAAGGGATGGTATCTTGTCTGTCGACAGCGAGGTCGCGGTGGTTGAGTCTACTTGGATTTCCCCACGCGCGTCTGAGTGCTGCTGCACCTTGACGCGACAGGCAAATAATTACGGGCCACACACTTGAGGCTGCTACGCGCTGGTAGGAGCGCAAGCGTAGGTAGTGGCTCGACAGCTCACGTGATCCACCCGAGACTGTAACTGAGTGCTAAGCTACCAAGTGGGTGACAAAATCGATTTCCGCTCGACACTTGCGACAAGCAGTTCCACTACTATTATCATTAGCATTCATATTTATTAATTTAAGTATATTCCTCTATATATATACCTAAAAAGGACTTAAAAATAGAAAGGTAGAAGTTATGATATGAGTAGTGAAAGAGGTACTTATCAAGATGAAGAGCAGGAAATCGATTTTGTCCCCCACTTGGGCTACCTACCTTGAGTATCCGTGGGTGCCTCTCTCGGTAAGGTACCTTAGACGGAAGTGTAAGGATACCAGGTATCTACCTAGATAGCAATACCCAGGAGATGTCAGCTGCAGCTAAACCCCCACTGGGACTTTTCTGGTTTTAACCAACCAGAGAAGCAGCCAGCAGCACCTGCACATTTCACGGGCAGCCACTGAAGTACGGAGTATTGAGGACTGTCTGTCTTTCCCGTCTCAACTTGTCCTCAAATCCAAGTACCGTTGTGTTCAGTGCATACTGGCCTGGTCAAAGACACATATGAAGTACACTAAGTACCTAGGTAGGGACCTATAGATTTGCCTCCCTTCGGCAGTGTAACCTGACTTCTCGAGTTGTGGTTACGGCCATGAAAGCAACAGGAAATCTAACATAGAGATGAAAGCCAGGGACAGATCCTGCTTCAACGCGTGAAATTTTCCGGTACTAGACCGTCCCGTTTTTTGACACTGGAGAGCGCGATGCGGATCACCCGATAAGCTTTAGATGGCGGAGCTCTTATGCCCTGTGACGTATCACGGAGCGACCCCTGTTGGAAATGTTGGTCCAGCTCCCCGTCGCCAGGCAAGAAATACATCTGCAGCTGCAGCCAGTTAAAGTCTTGCGACATCAACAGTGGCGGTCAATCAGTCAACACGTGTAATTCATCGCCAGCATCCTCAACGTGTTCCAGACCTACCTTAATCTTTTCCACCATCCTCAACCCCCCTACCTCTTGTCATTTGTGTCCACCCCGCCCTCCCATCTCCGAGTCACGCTGCCAAACTACCGTGCAGCTTGTCACCATCGACCACCTAGTACCTACTAGTCGAAGCCAGCGCTACCTTATCCCGTGCCCTTGCTGCTGTCGAGATCTTTCTTCTACAAGACACCTTCCATCAACACCAAACCCGTTCCTGCATTTGCCTCGTCCAAGCTGTGTCTATCAGGCGCATTGTCGAAGCACCTGCTCCAAGCCTCGGGGATCTTGAAACTCATGGCCTGGCCTTGGTGAACTCCTCAAACAGGTGAGCTCTCCCTTCAACTCCTGTATCCCTCACATTTCGTTTCTGCAAACGCGCATTTCTCCATCATGGACCGACGAATTCACCCACAAAGACTAACGTGTGGCTCAACGTTACTTTAGACCACCGACAGAGAACTAAGACAATCAAGCCGAGACTTCATCCGGACCGTCTCAGGTCCTGTCAAAGATGGAAGAATCAAAACCAGTGGATGTACCTGGCGCCAAAGGCGAGGATGTCCAAACGGACAGCGAGGCTGCTTTCACTCCCGACCACACCGAGACACAATCCGCTCTCAGCGGTTCTCCTCCTGACCACGATGGTCTTCATACCCCGACCCTTGGTCCTGTGAACTCGGGGAGCCCCAAGCTTTCGAGACACGGGTCCTTCTCCGGCAGCAGTTCTTACCAAGAGGACTGGGACGTTTTCCCGCCCCTCGACCGCATCTCTGTACTCGATCTTCTCGATAACTTTGCTCTCCCACAGCAGCTGGAGAAGTTGCAAAAAGGCTTCTCAGCCCAGACGCAAAAGGTCCGCAAGTCCAGGGATGCATTCAAGAACAAGAGCCAGCATGCGCGTGAGCGCATGGTCGACGAGTGGCGGCGACGCGTCCCCACCGCCGACGAACAGTTGGAAAGATACAGGAAGCGGATGCGCACCAGCGTCGACAAGCTGGGAAAGCAATGGAACGACACTAGGGTGGTCACGATGCGCGAGAAGGTCTCATTCATCTTTGGCGTCATGAATATCTTCGTTAGCGGTCTTCTCATGGGCGGGTGGCCCGAGTACTTTCACTTGTGGTACACCGTCCAAGTGCTGTACTTCATGCCTATTCGATACTTCACCTACCATCGCCGAGGATACCACTACTTCCTCGCCGATCTCTGCTACTTCGTCAATCTGCTCCTTGTTCTCAGCATCTGGATCTTCCCTGGCTCGAGACGACTTTTCCTAGCCACCTACTGTCTCGCATTCGGCAATAACGCGGTAGCGATCATCATGTGGAGGAATTCGCTCGTCTTCCACAGTTTCGACAAGGTCACTTCATTATTCATACATATCATGCCTTGCGCAACGCTCCACTGCATAGTCCACCTGTGGCCAGCGGATCTCCAGGCCAGCCGTCTACCTGCCATCTGGGCTCTGAAGCACTCCCCTGCTGGCTCGAGTGGAGGTTATGGAAATATCGTCTCTATGCTTGCCTGGAGCTCTGTTCCCTACGCTATCTGGCAGCTTTCCTACTACTTCTTCATTACTGTTCGTCGGCGTGACAAGATTGCTGCCGGTCGGCCGACATCTTTCACTTGGCTGCGCAAGTCATACTCCAAGACCTGGATCGGCAAAGTCGTTCTCTCTTTGCCAGACGCCCTGCAAGAATCTGCCTTCATGCTGATCCAGTATTCGTACGCGGTACTCACCATGCTTCCCTGCCCCCTGTGGTTCATGAGTAGGTATGCCTCGGCGGCCTTCCTCTCCATCGTCTTTACCTGGAGCGTATACAATGGAGCAACCTACTACATCGACGTCTTTGGCACACGCTTCCAAAAGGAGCTCGAAGCACTGAGGGCCGAGGTCAAACAGTGGCAGAACACACCCGAAATGGGTGGCCAGTCGCCCCTGATGACGCCGAATCCCGAAGGGTCCGCGCCGAGCGAGCTGCACCTCACAAACAGCCAAGACGGAGCAAGTGGCAATCTCAACTCGGCTTACAAGCACGAGAACACGGTCATGGAAGAGAGCATAAAGGCCGGTGCGCAGTCCGATCGGATTCCGCTGCTGAGCGAAGAGCTCTCGGCCCAGGGGGTAGCCAGTGGGATTGATGGGGGTGCTAGAGATGTGGCCAAGGAGAGAAAGGCAGCGGGGGCATCTTGAGTTGTCATGTTGTGGAGGAAGCCGTCCTGAGAGCTGGGTGCTACTACCTATTATGACCCCCTTGAATTTTGGTTCTAAGCGCGAAACGATCATCATGTCACTACGAGGAGTACGTGGTCTGCCTGTTTTGTCTCATCAAATCGATATCCATTGAATATCCGTAAACTCTTTCTCGTCATGCTAATTGGTTTGACCCCGAACAGCGAGGCCGAGCTATGGTCTCTCCGTCTGTGTATGGACAAACCTCCCCCCACATCTCTAGCCGCGATCGTGATATTACATTCTCATGGGCCATGCACCTCGGAACTTATTGCCATGTCGAGAACATGAGATGAGCAAAATTTGCCTTGTCCATTTACGCTTGGCCGAGGAGGGGTTGCCCATATCACCCACCCCTCGACCAATACTGTGTGATAGATGCTATTTGAGCGCTTGAGCCTATGGATGGATAAAGATGACTTCAGCATCTCCTCTTCGTTGAGCAAAACCCCAACCTTCCACGTGTCCCATGTTCTCAAGCCGTTTGAGCTGAGCTGTGTTGTTCGTTTGGCCGTTTCCTCTCATGAACCACCCGCTGTAAAGCCAGATAATAAAAGGGCTTTGTTAAATCACATTCCCCCCAAAAACATGAAAACCTGAGAAACAACGATGTCCTGTAAGCCCCAACCCCCAATCTGAATGACGCCCATTCCATGCATATGATGCAACCGGTAACTGGGTATTTACGTTTCCTCTTGCCCATCAACATTTCCCAAGAAACAGAATTCGAGTGCTCGCTCCATATTCCCGCCTGCCACCAGTCCTGTCCGAAGCCGTTATTAACCTCCCCTCGAGCCAAATAGAAAGGGAGATGTTGGTATAATGTCGCATGCGGAGCCTGCTGCTCCAATTTTCTACCGGATGACGCCCCAGTCAGATAGTCGCCCGCCATCACTATCCTCTCTCGCCCCAGGTCGTCGTCCAAATGCGTTCCAGAATCGTAGAGTCTCATCTCCTGCGCCGGTCACAACGGTTCTGCCGTCCGGGCTCATAGCCAGGTAAAGCACACGATACGTGTGTCCAGTGAGACTGACCACCTGCGTCATGGAAGGGTATTTCCATACCACAATCTGGTTTTGACTATAACCGTGCGTCGAGACAATCTCATTGGAGTTCTTGGACCAGGCAATATTGCAGACCTGGCTGCCAGTATCGATCTCGTTGATGACAGATCCGCGGACTGTGTCGTGAAAGATGATGCGTCGATCAGCCGTACCTCCACCCGAAGCCAACAGTCCTCGTTGATGCGGTGACCATGCAATGGCCTTGACAGCTGCCGTGTGATCTGAAAACTTCCACAGGGGTGTCTCGGAAAGCTTATCCCACACCATGAGCTTGTTGTCATTGCCACCGCTGGCAAGCTGGCCGTCTTCGCAGTTCCACTTAAGACCGCAAACCTCCTGTTTATGGCCGACGAGCTTTCGGAGCCACTGGTCTGGGGCCCGTACGTCGCGGTGGTAGATCAGGCGATCGCGAGAGCCAGATGTTAGGATGTGAGTGTTCCAAGCCAGGGAGCCCACTCGTGCCGTGTGGCCTGTCATTGTTCGCAGTCGCCTTGTCTTTTCAGCATCCCAGATCTGGACGAGGCCCTTGCCGGTCCCGATAGCGATGTGAGTTCCTTTCTGAATCCATGACACGCTCGTTACTGTATCATCCTCGAGCGTACATAGCTTGTTGACGCGACTTGTCTGAGCATTCCACATGTAAACACTGGACCCGAGCCCGACCCCAAGCACATTGGCACTGCCCCAATCTACCAAGTTGAGGTAGAAATCATCTGCCAAATCAGGCGCATCGAGAACTTTGTAAGGCACTTTACTGACCGCCCTCGGTTGCCTCCGCGGGCTAAGCAGCATCTGTTGACTGTTGAAGCGAACTGGCGAAAGGCTATAGATCTCGGAACGAGTGTCGAGATTGGGACCATGCCGGCTCTGCGGTGTCCTTGACGGTGTTAGATGACCCGCATTGCTCAGGTTCCGCGGCGACATGTAGGAGAACAGATTCTTGTGGGGGGTCGATGGCGTTAGAGAGGATGGAAGAGAGTTGGTGGAAGCGTTGTTTGGCGGGGTGCGAGACCTCGTCGAATCTCGAATGTTGGCAGAGTGCGATGCAGTGGATGAAGTATGCTCAGGAGACATAGTAGGCGGTGTTGCCTGTGGTATTGAGCCTTCGAAGAGCTCTGCGCGGAGCAGCGTCGAAAATGTCCGGTTTGCTTCCTCAGCTAAGAACGGTCAGATTTGTCTTCTGCGGGTGGAGGGGCGTAGATGGCTCACTCTTTTGAAAGTGTAGCTCTCCGTGAGGAGTACGCTTCTTCTGTTTGGACGGTGTCGCTGGAGAGCCATCTTCGTGTAGCAAGTTGAAGCTGGCTTGGAGGTCCTGGCCAGTTCGTGTTGGAATAAATCTGGCACAAACGACTTAGCAAATAGTGCTTGAAATTGATCACGGTGATGTGCACCTACCTGTCGCCATTGATTCTCTGGCGCTTCCGATGTGGGCTAGCACCAGGTGTGCTTTCCCTCTGTGATCGGTGGTGCATCTCACGTAGCAAAGCACTGTCAACGGCGTCGGGGTCGAAAGCACTGGATCGAGCCGATTCACTAGGTCTTCTGCTGTGTTGAATCTTGCGCTGGCTCGTATTTTCCAAATATTGGCGGTTCTCGACTAGACCTCTGTCGGAAGGAGGGGGAGGTGTTGCGAAGCGAGTGGGTGTCGTGGTTGCTGAATTGCTTGCATCAGCTACTGGTCTTTTGATGGAACCAGAAGCGCCGAGGACAGCCGAAGAATCGGTCGGGAGAGTCATCTTGACTTTTTTGCAACAAGCAACGGAGATCGTCCGTGAGAGTTGCGCGAAGAGGCTGAAGTCTAGCGAAGGCGGCTGGGACGAGCGTCGTCGGGGGATGTGGCGGGGAATGATAAAGCACACCAAGCACCGACACCAGTGCGGGCCTCAGAGAGCGGTGGTCGTGTCGTAGCAGTCGGCAAACCAGGGCGACAAAAGCTATTCAAATAATGCGCTCGCGGCGTTTGGAGAATGAAGTCGTTGCTCGAATTGTCGGCGAGTCGTCTTGGTCGGTCGGCGCGGCATACGAATCACCACCTTATCCCTGACGGCGGTGTTCAAATCGTTGTCATTCGCATGCTTTTCCCTCAGGCGGTCGCAAGAACTTGGGCGCCGGCGACAAGATGCTGGGATTAATGGCGCAAAACGGGTCGGAAGAAATAATTAGTCGAGAGAGAGAAGAAAGAGGAGACAGCAAGATGGGCGTCAACGGGTGGTGAAAGGCTGTCGAACGTTGGATTGAGTGCAGATTCGAGATGTCTGAGGCCACGGGGTGCAGGCTGGAGTCGCAGGAAGCGGCAAGAGCCAGCAGCGGAGGAAGGCACGATGATGAGTGGTTGGGCGGGTAGGAAGGTGCAAGGTAAGGGAGGTACCAGGTGAGGTAGGTAGGTGCGGCAAGGTCAGTATGTACCTCAAGGCGACAAGCACCGCGGTGGTGAGGTGCAGCGGTTCTAATCGTGACGGGAAGGGGTCCAACAGCCAGTAAGGTGCAACCCGTCCCAATGCTGGTCACAGTGGAATATCACCCAACCTCACTCAGGCAAGCATGCCAGGGCACAACAGACTGTTGTCGGGGCGGGGGGAGGGGACTCTCACTAAGAGGATGGAAACCACGAAACTCAAGGGCGTCGAGGAGGTTGAACTGGGGGAGTCGCGGCAAAGGGAGAGACGCTAATCTTGTTAAGGCTCTAGCGTAGACGGCAGAGCAACAAGAACAACAGCGGTGGTCCCTTCGGCCGCTGTCTGGGTAAGGTACGCGGGCACGCATCACGCACTTCCATTCAGGTACTTTGACTATTATACAACTTAGGAACTGTTTGGTGGTTTCCAGAGGTACCTTGGTGATGCACTTTGGCCCTTGGACGCGACTGGCGAGGGAAGAGAAAGGGCGTCTGGCGTGACTGGCGTCAGTAGGTCCCGCACGGCAGGGTGGGGAGGGAGGGGGACAATAACATTGACCGACAACCCAAGGGGGAACCGGGACGGGCAGACGAGACTGGGGATGGCGAACAACAACAACAACAAACAGCCCGTCCCGTCGCCTGTCGTTCAAGGGTCAGCGCGACCGAATGTTAGAACTGAACACAGAGTTGATGTTTCTTTTCTCTCCTCTTGTAAAGCCCGTGCAAGCAACATGAGGTAGAACAAACAGTAGAGAAAACATATAGAGTACCTCGACTTTGGTTGTTGACTTTTGATTTTAAGTCCTTCGTCCAGGAAACTATATCAATAGTTGCTCCTGCCCTGGCTTGCTTGCTTGCACATTATAGTTCTATTACGTGTAGATCTCATAACAATACTTCGCCATCACAATATTATGTTGTTTCGACTCGTGCGTGTTTCTTGCCTCTCACTTGTCAAAGGCACCCTTCACTATCAGCCAAGGACTACCTGTCGCCTAGTTGACAGAAAGCCAGAATAAGATTGACAATAGTGTCAAGCTCGTCAATTGTGAGAAATTGCTTGGAAGTAAGCACGCAATCTACGGTTTCGAACTACCTACGGTATAAATCATCATTCGATGCGGTTTTAATTACGCTAGCCACGCTGAGTTATCGAGACCTGAGTACGGAGTACCTTAGGCTTTGGCAGGAGTGTTGATTGAGATTGGGAAACGTCCTCGCACCCACCCACAACCAGAGACAAAAGAAGCTATGCAAGGCACAGATGGGACGGTACGGGACGAGACAAGACCAAAATGGGATGGCAGTCGCGATGAAACGCCCCGTGTTGTCCACGTAAACCTGAGTTGGCGTCAATTTTTGGATGTTTGTGTGTATGGACAAAAGTATGTCTTCACGCTTTCCCCTCTTCCATCGCGCTTCCATACTATTACTTGGGATTCGGGATGAACAATGTCGCGTCGCCAGTCTCGTCAAAAGAAAAATAAAGGCCGCGTTGCATTCCAGCTAACACGATTTCCGCCTCCCTTGCGCAAAGAGGGGGGGCTGGGAGAATTGTTTTTGTTTGTGTGTTTTTTTTTTTCTTTCTGGTCAACCTAAGCTAAGTTTCAATGGTCCAAATTCGGGCCATTGGGCACCTGCCGCGCCTTGCCATTTAGCACCTTCGGGAATTCACAGCCAGTCGACACGTGCTGGGCGCTCTGGTTTTGGCCCCTTGAGTGGGGACCTACGGATACACCAGGCCAAAAACTAAGAAAACCAGCCTCCGCGATGTCGCAGAAGCCAACCGATGGAATTTCGTAAACAATAGTGGTAGCCGTCAACTGTTCATCCTCCAAAAGCCCACAGCAGGATTATCGTCGGCCGTGTCTTGCTAACATGATGAGGAACTAAGTGTAGGATTCAGGAGACTTATTCTCCATGCTGGTTGATTCTAGTTTCGGGCATGGAGCTTAAACGCTCGAGCTAAGGTCCCTTGCCTTACGTCATTTAATGCTGAACAAACGGACGAAGATAAACAATGGTGGGCAGCGATAGCTACGCGATGCGACGCGTTTCTTCGCGTAAAGCACTCTCGCGCTTCCAAAAAGGGGTTACAAATCCTGTTGCTGGACGGTTTCGATTTGTCAATGCGCACTGTTCCTATCCACTGTATGATAGGTGTGTATTAGATAAGCAGACACGTGCTGCTCTGGACTACTTGAGTGTAATCTCAAAATGTTTATGTAAGGTAAGGTCGAAGCTGCACTTGAGCTTTCGTGGACTGGAAGGCAGTGACGCTCCAAACCCCGACCTAAGGTAAATGCAAGAACCTTGAGCTGATCTATGGATACGAAAAGCTGGCTAGGTTTTCATGTCGTCTAAACCCTTCCAGCATTCCTTCATGCACAACACTCAATAGCCCAGCACCCAAACCTTTCGCTACTTAACGATCCATACGCCGCAGCACGCACGGCGCACTTTCAACCCCCACTCCCCTGCAGAAGAGCTGATCAGGAAATAGCCTGAGATTATCCTCAGACTGGTACGCAGGATACATGGCCTTTTCGGGACAGAGGCTCCTCGAGTGCCTGCCGCCAATCTTCCCGAATTGACAGGCGGCTTTTGACTCGTTGGCCACATGCAATGATCCAATCCCAACAAGCAGATCCCTCTCAATCCCCGGTTCCTATGGGGGTACCTGACATACCTGCTCGACCGAACTCTCGGAACCCCGCCAGCCGTTCACAGCTCGTGTGAAGCTACCTGCTATTTGCTCCATCGAACAATGCAGCTCCCCGGCGGAAATCATCTCTCCCCGCTTACACGAGCTGTCAGGGCCAAATGCGAGACCTCAAGTACATACAGACAACGGCGTACAGAGTACGGATACAGATAGAGTTTGCTTGAGGCTCTTGGATCAACGGCTCTCGCCTTGTTTACAAAGCTATTCCCGGGATACTTACACTGACGGAAGGGGTCCAAAGGAACGTGGGAAACTAAGCAATCTCCGGGTCCTGTCTTTTTTCGCATCCTTGTCCGAGAAACCAACAGTGCTTTGGCCATTACTCCTGGGAGCCTTTGAACCTCTTCGTAGGCAATGATATGTACGGACTGTCGCTGGCTGTATCCATCCACAACCAGAGAGGATGAGTGACCTTCGCCCACCACGCGCTAGAACAGACTCGGCTCGCATCTTGGCTGTGGCCTTGCGCTGACAGTGACAGACAGCGTCATCCCTGATTGACAGAATGACTAGGTTCACCCGCCACTCAACGCTAATCCGTACTGTAGTAATACTTCGTACCGTCCACAATACTGATACTCCGCCTTCCGAGGTTCGCAAGGCCACGAGCCGGCAACGCTTGGTTCCGGACGCATTTTGGTGGGACGTTGAAGATGACATAGTTACTGGCACTCCTGAGAAAATGCCTTTCCGTCACGGGTTTTATCTCCTCCAGGCTCCATTGCTCATTCAGCCCAGTCTCCGAAGCTCCGGTAGCTGATCTGCTCTTCTGCCATGCCGCCGGCAACATGAGCTTTGTTCCGCTTTGCCGCGTGGGTGTCTTACTTCGGGACCTTGGCGATCTATCTCGCCGCGTGCTCTTTCTATGCAATTCAGTTGAGCTATCCGCAGATCGTCGACAAAATATGACCTGTTGCGTTGAAAGTCGATTGCTCGATGCGAAAAGTGATAGCCCTACGGATGCCGAGGAGTCATTCCTCGTGATACCGAAACCCCACGTCCCGCTCGAACAGCGTTGACTGACAAAGACGCGGACAAACTCACGGTACAATATCAGGGAGACCATCCATCTGTTCGCGATCAACAAGAGATCGTAATACCGGCAATGCAGATTCACGACTCAGGTAACGCATTCTGGTTGTTCTCGACCGTTTGTAATTACTCTGTGGTAGCGAATTAATTGTACAGGAAATTCGAAATCATCCCCAGGCCATCTTCGAAAATGATATAGTCCGACCGCCGATTCAGGCTTCAGATCGCAGCTCCGAGGATCGAGGGGATCGAAGAAAGCACGGGCATCGAAGAAATACAGTCTGGCTCCTTTCCCACGGTAAGCTCTGTCATGCTCCATGGTATCGGTCCCAAACATTGGAGCGAGCGATATGACGCGAAGGTTGATTAGGAGATAGTCCCATTTGCTAGCTCGACTGTCAAATGGCACTCGCCAGGCCGTGAGCGCCGCCCTTTTGCCCGATTAGGACACTGGTTGAGGTCCGGGTCCTGGGCCGCAGTGGGGCCGGAGCCGAATTGGTCCAAGTCTCGAAGCGTGGGATTCATGGGGGTCCTGAACTCCTGGAGGTTTCTCGACAAATCCTTGCTGGGGCCGCCTCGAGACTGGAGAAAGCCAAGAGAGTCCGAGTCTGCAACTACCCACGGTTCGCTGAAGAAATCTCGATTCTCAACCCCCAGCATCCCCGTCTTTGCCAATTGACGTAGCACAGACAGTGTTGCTCTCTTCCATTTTCACGCCCAATCCTACATTAACTGGCTATGTACTGTGGCATGGTGGTCAACAAGACTGCCATAGTCAACCTGCAGTGTATCCGTACACGGCGGCCTGAATTCTACAGAACACCCCAGGCAACTCTCTTGCCGAAGTTTCGTCTTGCCCTTTTCTCGACCATTGCTGTTGCGGCGAACATGGTGAAATCCCTCCACTGGGAGGTCACAACTTGCAGCAAGAGGTACACCTACATACCTTGGCATCTTTCACGGCCAGCGCCTGAGTCAAGATGGCAGCAGAAGAGGCAAGCGTAGCAGGGGAGTAAACGGCCACGGAGACAGAGAATGCTCAGAATGGTGTGTACTGGTACATTGTCGAAAGAAGGTAACCATATTGCATATGCACTCTGGTCACTCTACCACCTCCCGAAACTAACCTAATGCTAGGAAGCTGGTTGTGCTTCCCCGTCAAAGCCCGTCTATGATCTATGTCCTGACTTGACATCGCCGTCTATTATTTTCTTATTCAGCATGGCTAATACCAGGCCTGACGTCTTGATTGGTAACACTGCAGAGCGCGCGAAACAGTTTTGCAAGTGCCGATTTGGGTCGGAGCATTCATGTCGCCCCCCTTTAGCCTTCTCTTGACATATCAGGATGGCTCTGGCATCGCCGAACCGTTGACAAGAAAACTATGGATGACGACGGCTTGGTTCACCCGAACCCAAAAGCCCCCAAAGGCCGTGCAGTGTCCGTGGCTCAGATGAGCAATGGGACTAACCCCAACCCGTCAGCAAGTGTCTAGGTTCTGCCAGAAAACCAAACAAAGACTGCCCGGCGTCCAGGTTCTGGCCTCTTCAGCCTTCAGAAATCTCTTTTGCAAGGTCAGGAGCTATACTCAGCTCTGCTAGTGGGCGATCATTCTCCGCTCGGCCGTCGAATGGCATCCTTCCATAACCACACATCGTGGGAACCTCTTTCTCGCGCAGACTACTGCAACGCAACGCTGTGGGTTTTCGCCCATTCTTGTTTGATTGCCGCCCATGTTGGCGCCTTGCTGGGGACCCAGCCTTGAAGGAGGGCAGGGGACGGGTTCGCGGGTACCTGACGAAAAGTATGTTGGCTCTATCCATATGTAGGCAAATGTGCCTGACATGCCCGCTTGCGCTTCTTCCGCCTCGCCCGTCAATAGTTTAGTATCGGCGTCCGTCGATCTTTGGTCTCGCACACCCTCCTAGCTTGCTATCTGCTTCGTCTCTGCCGAGCCCCTCTCCTTTGATCGCCTCCCCGCTGTTCTCTACGGCGCCGTCCTGCTCTCTGGCTGGATGACGTTGTGGGATGCCCATGGCTGGTGCGCCCCACGGCTATCTTCCTTTGACATTTGATGCTCATCCTCTTTTCCCACGATCAGCCTTCGTCCAAACCCAATATAAATCCTTCTCCGATCCCCCAACGCCCGTGATAATGCCCCAATCAACAGATACATCTCCGGCCCGTGATCATTCTGGACCACGTTCTGTATTAGCACTATTCCGGCGAAAGAAGCACATGGCTCAGGTCGCTGCCGCTCACAGCACAAACCACCGCCGACACAGGCACGGTGAACTCACCCAACCTCAAATGAACGGCTACAGCTCTCTCAGTGTCACGTCTCTGCAAAGTCAGAAGCAGCAACAAGTAGACTTTGACGAAGGCGGCGCCGATATTCCCGACATTCCGTTGAAGCGTCCAGTCACCAAGATGCATCAGGACCGCCCCTTGAACCCGTCGAGGTTCCAAGAGGCTTGGGAGGATGACGAGGATAGGAACTGGACCGCACATCATGGACATGGGCCCATCAATCCCAATACCATAGCTCCTCGGCCAGATAGAAGGTAAGAGGGGAGATGTACCTATCGTATAAGTCGAGAGCAATGCCGGCTAACACCTCACCAAAGTGCTGTTCGTTCTCCTGACATTCCCCCAAGAGAAAGAGGCAGAGTAAAGTCTCCCGAACCTCTCCACGCTCAGCAGCGGCAGATGTCCTCAAGCCCACCAAGGAGCCCGAGGACACGGTCTTCAAGGTCCAGGGCCAACTCGACATCGTCCTCATATCAAACAAATAACACATCACTTCCAGCTCTCCAGACGAAAGGCGCTGGCGATGACGAGATTCTCGAGCCCTTGGCAGAAGAGGAAGTCGAGCCCGGCTCGTTTGATCTTGTAGTCCCGTCTCATGGTGACAACGGACAGTACTCGCTGGAAACCCGCTCCGAGCTCCTCTTCTCAAAAGACCATCTGCAGGCCATTTTTGATGATCACTTACTCCTCCAACGTTTCACCGACTTCCTTCACCATGCCCGACCCGAATCGCTCCCCCTATTGACTTACTTCTTGGACTGCTTAAAAGCACTCCGGGCCATTGCGTATGCCAACGCGATCGCGGGCGGCCTCGACACTCTGCCCGGGCACGAATTCTCAATGGCAAACACCGATAGCACAATCAACAGCTCCTTGAGAAAGAAGGCCGAAGCTGCTTTCGACGTGCTTGTTCAGCAAGATCTTCCCGCCTACATCACCCATACTTGGATCCAGACCGTTAGCGTGTCGATCAAGAGGCGCATCACAGGCACTCTCCCGGTTCAGCTCAGAGAAATGTCCGAGGGTTTGGCAGAAGTGTTCTGCTTGACGGATCCTTCGAGAAACGACAACCCCATTGTCTTTGCTTCCGAGGGTATGTATATACATCCTTCTCCTTATCCATCTTCCACAGCAGCTGACCGTCACTTTCAGAATTCCACCGCACGACTCAATACGGCATGAACTATGTCATTGGCCGCAACTGCCGTTTCCTACAAGGTCCAAAGACCAACCCCTTTAGTGTACGACGTATCCGTGACAAGATCCTGGCTGGCAAGGAGCACTACGAAACCTTCCTCAACTACCGCAGAGACGGCTCCCCGTTCATGAACCTCCTCATGGTGGCGCCGCTATACGATAGTCGCGGCACAGTCCGCTATTTCATTGGCGCTCAAGTCGACGTCTCCGGTCTTGCCAAAGAAAGCTCTGGTCTGGATGCCCTGCAGAACCTGGTCGTCGAGAAGGAGGCCGTCGGCACCATCAACGGCCAAAACCAGCAGCAGCGATACGACAACGAGGAAGAAAAGGACGAGTTCGAGGAGCTCAGCGAAATGTTTAACATGAACGAACTCGAAACCGTACGCAGACGCGGCGGAAACATGCACCGCGTTCCGCAAGATGAAGGCCAGGCCGCATCCTCGACAAACTGGCAAAAGCCACGCATCCTAATCCAGGACGAGTCCTCCTCTGTCCACCAGTCCAACCCAGCCGTGCCTTTGACGAGCGGCAAGCTCTCCGGCGTCTACGAGCACTACCTCCTCGTCCGGCCCTACCCCAGCCTCCGCATCCTTTTCGCCTCCCCCTCCCTCCGCCTCCCGGGCATCCTCCAGTCCAACTTCATGGATAGGATAGGCGGCTCCAACCGCGTCCGCGACGGCCTCTCCCAAGCCTTCGCCGACGGCCACGGCGTCACCGCCAAAGTCCGCTGGCTTACCAAGTCCAACAGCGAAGGCCGCGTCCGCTGGATCCACTGCACACCCCTGCTGGGCAGCAACTGCGCCGTAGGCGTCTGGATGGTCGTCCTCGTCGACGACGAGTCCGAGGCCGGCATGAAGCGAGGTAATCAAGCGCCGCCCGTAGACGGCCGGCTTCGGAGGGCTCCCGGCATCGCGCAGCAGTTTCAGCAGCAGCAGCAAGCCGGGTCGCAACACCGTCCATCCGTCGACGACAAAATGTCCCTCTCGAGCTTCGCCGCCATGAACCGCGCCCGCGACGAGGTCCAGGTCGACGCCCCCGCCGACTTTGACGTCGACGTCCCCTCCGACCGCCCCGGTAGCCGCGCCAGCCGCGCGAGCAAGTCGAGTCGGCTCAGCCGGGGTCCCGTCAGTGCGCAGCGTCGACCTCTAATCCCGGGCGGTTTCGATGATCCCGATGGAGGGCCATCCCGGCCCGCGTACACTGTAAGACTGGAGGAGGATTAGTTAGTTACAAGTCTGGTGCTCAATTTTTCTGCTTGCCCCTTGCAAATTTTCTTGCTTTTCCATGGAAGGGTGGTGTTCCGGAGGTGCCGTTGGTGCCGATCTACTTGATACCATTACAGTTCTGTGCATTAATATTAGCCTTGTTATATTGGAACCTCTCCCTACAGCGTCGATATAAAACTCCTATACACCTGACGGAATCGGAGGGAAAGAGAGAGCAGAATGATAATAAATTAATCTTACGTCACGCAGGAGCAGCCGCTGAACTACAAATCTGACCCGAATTGCGGGTGCTAAAGCTGTAAAGCGAAACTCCTCATTTTTGACACCGGCCAACTACGTGAAAGCAAAAAGTAGTCACATCCACCAAGTGAATAACCAGAAGCTGGACATTGCGCCTTTTACGATCATATGTTTACCTACCCTGGCCCTGCGTGATAATGTGATGCTACCCAGCTTCCGGCAGGGGTTTCTGAAGTTATTGCAGTATTACGTAGCACGACGTTCAACCGTCTTGACTTTGAATCTTGTGCTTCCTGCCATATGGCCAATGACTTTGCGTCGCAACAGAGTAGAGAGTCTGAATAGAGTAGAAGTTCTGTTTTCAAAAACCAGAACTCTACTGTCCGCTCTTAGTATTTCCTTCCCTTCATATATGCAACGATACCTGCTGAGGCATAGCTCTTCGTGTTTCATCGACTCGTAAAATTCATATAGTCTAACAAGTACGCGAGCGCTGGGAATTCCGCCAAAGATCCCGGATCTACCCAAAAGCACGCCCTTGATTTCTATCGCCCGCCTGACCCAGACCTCAATATCCAGTATTAGCCAACCTCTGGGAACGTGAGTAATCCGCCTCTCGAACCCGCACTGGCAGTAACCCCAGTCGTCCCTATCAGACCTTCCATCTCGTAGGGCGCATATAAACGTACTCAAGCCTGTGCAGCGCCGGCTTGCTCCAGCAGGCGTGCCCGCCAGCTGTTGCATACTTCCTCGAACCCTCCGACAACATCTCCGCATACGCCGGCGCACTCGCGGTTGGCCAACCTTTCGCTCCAGTTACCTCGGTTGATCCACCTCTCACCCTCCTCCCGGAGCTCTTCTTCCCTCTTGATCTCGGCCACCAGCTCTTTGGCGCTCTTCAACCGACGCGTGGCCGTTGTGGTTGTTTGCCTGGACATGTGCAGTGTGTCTGAGAGGTAGTTGAGGCTCTGGACGAGGTCCGAGGTGAGGGTGTGGAGGGCTGTGAGGGAGTCGTAGGCTTTCGTTGTTGGTCGCGGCATCGATTCGGATAGCTCGATCAAAAGGGGTAGCAGCTCATCGATGGTCTCCGAGTCCGGCGGTGGCACGAGTGGAGAAAGGAGCGGGAAGGTCAAGTTGTGTAGTTGCCGGGTCTGATGAGTTAAGTGGGTAGTAAGGGCAGAATGAGCGGTGATAAGTCTACTTTGGTTAGTCAATGACCACAACTGCGGGTGAACCGTCTTGAACTTGCCTTGTCGCACTGCCCTCGACGCCGGCTTGCGAGCCCAAGTCTCTCAAGCCCTCCGTTACCCGGCTGAAGACACCATCCGTAGGTCCTCCATTACTCTCAGTACCCCTCCTCGCCAAAGACTCGACAGCATCCATCTTGGCAACGAGACTGGGCAGCATGCCGGGAGAGTCAAGATCAGACTCGGATCCATATTCGCTTCCGTCATATTCACTCCCGCTTCGTCGATGGCCGCGTTGAGCGGCTGGTGGTGGCCCCAGATTGAAGTTCTTCCCCTTGCCGCCGGCTTCGCCGAGACTTGCAACATCGACCCCGCTGTCCCTTATTCCTTCAAAGGTGGCTTCTTCAACATTAATGTTTGGTGTCCCACTTCCGTTGTTCTCGTCGTTGTTTGTCTCTTCCTCGTAGTATTCTCCTTCGTCTTCAGAGTCAGAGAAGGCGTCGGCCAGTTCATCTGCAAGATTGCCCAGTCCGTTGCCTCCGTCCATGCCTCCGCTCGCATATGAGATATCCAGGGCGTCTTGGTTGTTGAAGCTGCTGCGCAAGGGCGTTGCGGGATCGGCGGAGGACCTCGATGTTCGTCTATTCAGAGGGGAGGAGTTGACGCTGTTGTACTGGTACGAGCCGTCAACGCCCGAATGATTGCGCGAGTGTCCCGGAGTTTGAGGCATCTTGACGGTGTGACGAGGTGTGACGAGGTGTGACGAAGGGAAAGTTGCGATCGGTCGGTCGGCGAGAGCAGCAGCGGACGTGTTCGGTGAAGCCGTCCAAGCAGCACTTTATGATGGGAAAAGGCCGAGTCGATGACGCTCCGCAACGTACGTGTGCTGGCAGCCCAAATAGTCGAATATGAATGCAATGTTGTTGCTTGTCTGTCCCGGGGTTGCTGGTGCAGTGATAAACAACAGGGGTTGTCGCATCAAATACACGGCAAGGAAGATCCAGGTGGAGATGGGTGCGGGAAGCGTGTAGAGACGGCCTGGCACCAGGAAAACAGCAGTCGTGCAAAAAATGGGCTACCTAAACAACAGTCTAAGCGGAGCAGAAATCAGTGTTGGCGGCCCATCCCATGCACGAAAGTCAGGGAGTGTTGTGTATTGGCCTGGTGGCCGTGGGCGAGGTTGAGATTATCACTGGTTTTATTAATTTCAGAGGCGGGCTGGCATCGATTCGGCGCCAGCGGTCCAATTAATGCGATCCGGCGGCTATGTTGTAATGAGGGAGAGAGCCCTTGCGCCTGTGCGTTACTCACTGGGCCTTTGGGTTCTGGTGGTGGACATGGGCTCAAAGAAATCTCCGGGAGAAAATGTTGTCGAAGAAATGAAGAAATGAAGATCATACTCGTCTTTCTGTGGCGCCTCGAGGCTCCTCAGGTACCCAATACTGCCGACGGACCCCTAGTGCTGTGTCTCAGAACTTTGACCGCTGACACTGAATCTGAATCTATCCGGAAGGGGGAAGTTGTCACTCCTGCTGATACAGGCAGTGGCAGACGTGGTCCCTGCATCTGGCCGATGTATCTTTCACCTGCTTCAACTGGAAAAATATACTTAGCAGAGATGCACGCGCCGGAGCCTCAGTCGGCACAAGAAAATTAAAAACACGCTCCCGTCTTTCGTGCTTCCCCTCCATTCGCTTCCAGCCAGAGGTGGAATGTGGTGGAGTCAGGCCCGTTATCGTGCCTTATCTGGTACCACCGAACACAACCTGGAAGCCGCAACACGGCTCCGAAAAGCTCCTTCCCCGTTCCACGGCAGCTATTGATGAGGCAGTAACACCGATTTCGACTCGACCTCCTGCCCTGAAGCTTTGCTTGAGTACTTTGTTCTCCTAAACCGTCTTACACACTCTTTGCCACCTTGCTATAGCTCCTTTACGATTGCTATCTCCCGACATCGACCCCTCCCTTGCCGCCTGGAGCCCCTCCGTGCTTGAATTGATCGCCCGCCGCGCATTCACTTCGGCAGCCATGGCAACTTTTCGCCGCTTCCGTCCTGACGATGTCAACAAGTTCTCTAAATGCAACCTCGACCCTTTGACCGAGACGTATGAGCTTGCCTTCTACCTCCAGTACCATGCCAAATGGCCAGCCATGTTCCAGGTGTGCGAGGACATGAACGGCAATATCATCGGCTACAGTATGTTTGAGAACACAGCTACGCTTTGATCGACTTGTCTGACTTGATGCTTTAGTCATGGGCAAGCTGGAGTCATCACCCGATGTCTACAAATATTCCGAACACTACCTTCCCTGGCATGCCCACATCACCGCTCTGACCGTTGCGCCAGAGGCGCGACGACTGGGTATTGGCAAGATTCTCTCCGAACAGCTAGAAGCCGCAGCCGACGCCAACGATGCCTGGTTCGTTGACCTGTTTGTTCGCACAAGCAATCACAAGGCAATCACATTCTACAAGGGCATGGGCTACAGCGTCTTCCGCGTGGTCAAAGATTACTATGGCGACCATGCTACAGACCCTACCCGAGACGGCGAGGACGCTTATGATATGAGGAAGCCAATGAAGAGGGACGTCAAGCTCGAGCATATTAGAGACGATGGGGAGAAGCACGAGGTTGACCCATCTGATGTCTGGTGAAGAGCAAACAGCGTCAATTCTAGCAAAAAACCCCGACTATCATTTCCTCGCAAGCCTCGCCGAGCCGTCTGTGGCTCATAACCACGCTCCATCGACTTGATAGACGCTCCCGCTCACGAAGGAGCTCTCTGGGCCGAGCAGGAAAGCGATGACGTTCCCGCACTCGTCAGCAGTGCCCTGACGTTGAAAAGACGTTGGCTCGTCGAAGGCGGCGTCGGCTGCGCGATCATGAAATTTCCAAGCCTTCTCCATTAATGGTGTGTAGATGGCGCCTGGAGCAACGGCGTTGACTCGAACCTCTCGGGCACCGTTCTCGTTGGCTGCCGCTCGAGTGAGCCCTATCACGCCATGCTTACTAGCATCATATGCGCCGTGCTTGGCAAAACCTATCAAGAGCTAGTCAGACGAGGGAAGCTTCACGAATTTGAGCAGTAGGAAGATGCGGCGTACCCTTGATGCCATGAATCGAGGCCACGTTGACAATGGAACCGCCGTCCGCTATGTTTCTGAGTTCCGCCCTGAGACAGTACATGCAACCTGTCAAGTTGACAGCAATGATCTTGTGCCACTCGTCGTCTTCAAGGTCCGCCACGGCTCGAATGCCGTGGTGTTTGCCAATGACGCCGGCCACGTTTGCAGCGCCGTCCAACCGCCCGAATTGCTTTACTATGCCATCTATCCAGGTCTCCACCTCGTTCTTCACGGACACATCGACTTTTGTCACCGAGAAAGGCGTCTTTTGCTCCGTGAAGTAGGTATTGGCTTGTTCAAGAGCTTCGGGGTCGATGTCTGCAAGGCACACAGTGGCACCCCGCTTTGCGATGATCTTAGCCGTTGCAAGGCCAATACCGCTGGCTCCCCCAGTAAAGGCGAAAACTTTCCCGTCAAGCGATGCCATTTTATCAGCAGTATGTTGTCGTGTTAGAGAGCTAGTGCAGGCGAAGACTATCTGCGAAGTTTGAGGAAGTTCACGAGCGCATGTTCGAGAAATAGCTCTTAGGTGTAGAATAGTGCAAGGTGTCCCGCGTTTCCGACGCAGATCCGCGCCCAATCATGTCTTGTCAACGCAGCTAGATCATCTATGTTCGCATGAAGTTGACCCGGCCCGACGCGGGTGAGATTTTTGAGCAACTCCCCATAACAAGATGAATCATGGCCAGCAGTGGATGGCCAAGCCTTTGAGAAGTCCAGCGACTAATATCACATTTGTTCTAGAGGGGTAGAATATGGAAGGTGAGCTATCGCAATGGAATTACACTTGCTATTTGGGCTCGATCCGATGCAGATACTATCCCCGTGGTTAGTAGCGTAGTCTGTATACGTTGCAGGGAGATTGTCGTTTAATCTCGTCAACTTTTGCTCAGGCTTCCATCCAAACTTCGCCTAACATTGGAAAACGTGCAAACATAAGATGGCGTTGGGGGCTACTTTAACTTGTGCTTCCAGAAAGCTTACAAAAACCAGGTGACAGATCTAGAAAGGAAGAGACTACACTACATAACTACATGCCTGCCCCGAAGTAGTGGTAGTTGGTAGCTAACAATGGGCACAGGTGCCTTCCTTCAAAGTTGAGAGCTCTCAACCCCGCACAAAGCAACCCCGCCGTCTCCGCAAAACAGGGGGCTCGTGGCGCGGCACTTGACGTTTGATTGGAGCCGGTCGGGTCGCAACTGCTGCGTTCATTGGCCATCCCCAACCTGGGCGGATCACGATGGGGCCCGAATAGCCTGTGTGCGATGCGGCGATGCAGCCTTGCAAGCACCTGACCCGCTCTCCTGACGTACATCCGGCCCTCTCCTGCAACCGCACTGCTGATCCGGTGCTTTACCTGTGACCCCCAGGCGTTACCTTCAGCTACGACCCCAGATTTCTCCAACTGTTCCCGTGTCGGCTTGGAGCTCCTAGACGTAACCCAAGTCCAGGTACCTCTCGTGGTTGGTTGTGTGCCACAGCTGTCAGCCGGTGCTTGGAGCTACTTGTAAAACAAAGCCGAGGAAGAAGAAGACGAAGCCGTTTCTTGCTTGAGTCGTTCTTTTCCTGACCTCTCCTCAACTTCTTCACCTGCTCCCCTTGTGTGTCAAATACTGTCGCCATCCTCACTCTTCGCGAAGTTCACAGTCTGCGTCGCAAGGAGGTGCAACCTTTCCTGCCTACTTCACTTTGGTACTCCCGCTGCCTTCCTTGGCCACATCCTCCTCTACTGCTTGATCCCGCCAAGAATCCGTTTGTTCTCGGAGCTGGTTCTCGGGAAGCTCATTCCATCATGCGTTTCTCCTCGTTGCTAGTCGTCGCCGCGACGGCCAGCGCTTCCACATTGACTCCTCCTGTCCTTCCTCTAATTGTTCGCAACCCGTACCTGAGTACCTGGCTCGGCAATGCTCGCGATGCGCCGTGGGAACATTGGCCCTACTTCTGGACCGGCTCCAGCGTAAGCTCTCCTGACATGCCGTCCACTTCAGGCGCGTGGTCTGGCTAACTGGGGATAATCCCATCAGGTCGGATTCTCGGTAATGGCCTCAGTGCCCGACTCCAATACCATTTACCCATTGCTGGGACGGCCCCAGGATTCATTGCCCCCATCTTCCAAGTGGGTTTGGCCGCTACCTATCTCCGTGATTGTAAATTGACATGCCTTCAGATACTACAACGTATCTGTCCCGTCCTACCTAGGTGCAACCTTTGACGCCTCGACGACAAACTTGACCTACTCGATTCCCCCTCCTCCCGGGTCTGCCGCGCCGGTCAAAGTTGTGCTCTCCTTTCTCTCACCCATTACGCCCACCTCGACCTTTCGACAATCGATCCCTGCTGCGTATCTGACTGTCCACGCCGAAGGGTCTTTCGACATCAACATCTACACCGATGTCAATGGCGAGTGGGTCAGCGGCAACCGGGACAATAGCATAGTCTGGGAACTGAGCAAAGCAAAGGCCTCGAATAAGCAGAGCGCTGCTGCTCTAAAGACCTGGCAAGTCGGCAGACAGTACCCGCAACTGCTCACCGAGTTCGCCGACCACGCTGAATGGGGTACTCTGCACTTTACCGGCCCGGCCGACGTCTACCACCAAGCCGGCACGTCCGCGAAGCTGCGCCAACAGTTTGCGACAAAGGGTTCTCTGACGAACGAGATCGATACCTCGTACAGGAAGATCATGGACGAGGAACCCGTCTTTGCCTTCTCCAAGACCTTTCACCTGAGTAGCAAGACGGGCAGCGAGTCGACGTCGGATGATAGTGTACTATTCACGTTTGCTCTTGTCCAGGACCCCGTGGTCCAGTTCGCCGCTGCAAGAGGACTGACGCAGATGCGCCCGTTGTGGTCCTTTTACTTTGCCACCCCGGCCGAGCTGATCCAGTACCACTACGATGATTTCTCGGCGGCTAGCTTACTGGCTGGGAACTACTCAAATCAGCTCGCCATCGATGCGTTTGCTTCTGGGTCATCAGATTACCAGGACATTGCCGCCCTGTCAGCTCGCCAGGTCCTCGGCGCAACGCAATTCTCTGGAACCCCCGACGACCCGATCCTCTTCCTCAAGGAGATCTCTTCCAACGGAAATTTCCAGACCGTCGATGTGATCTTCCCTGCGTTCCCGTTCTTCCTGTACACGAACCCTCGTTGGCTGGCATACCTGTTGGAGCCTCTGCTTGAACATCAGCTTAGCGGACAGTATCCGAATGATTACAGCATGCATGACCTGGGTGCTCATTTCCCGAATGCGACTGGACACCCTGACGGAAACGATGAGTACATGCCTGTCGAGGAGTGCGGAAACATGCTCATCATGGCACTGGCACTTGTCAACGCCTTCAAGTACGATACGCAGCCAGCGTTTCTCCAAACTATCAACGAACATGCGCACTCTCACGTCTCTCTCGAGGCAGAGACCAGCAGTGCTCGCTCATGGGCGCTTTCCATGGACTCCTTTGGCATCGACCGTCGCTCGGAGGTCACTGCTATGAGGGGCTCAAAGGAAGCCGAGAAATGGGCGTCCAGATCCTACGAGCTGTGGACAAAGTGGACGGGATACCTCGTTCGCGAATCACTGATTCCGGCCAATCAACTCTGCACGGACGACTTTGCTGGATGGCTTTCGAACCAGACGAACCTGGCCCTCAAGGGTATAATTGGAATCAAGGCGATGGCCGAGATCTCCAATATTCTCGGCAAGACGGACGATTCAAAGTATTACGCGGACATTGCAGCCGACTACATTGACCAGTGGCAAGGCTTTGGCATCTCCAGAGACGGCACCCATGCCAAGCTGGCGTACACCTGGTACGGTTCTTGGACGACCATCTATAATCTCTTTGCGGACTCGCTGCTCTGCTTCCACTTGCCCGAGGAGAAGAAGTCGACGCTTGGAGGAAGAGTGACGCAGTGGATCCAAAAGGCCATTGGCGTCGAGAAGCAGTCAACGTTTGTCCCGGATAAGGTGTACAGTATGCAGAGCAACTGGTACCATGCCGTATTGCAGCACTACGGGCTCCCGCTCGATAGTCGCCACCTCTACACGAAGAGCGACTGGCAGTTCTTCGCTGCTGCGGTGTCAAGCAAGGAGACCCGGATGGAGATTCTCCAGAGCGTTGCGACATGGGTCAATGAGACCACAACTGGTAAGTCGAGGACTTGAACCCGTCACTTTTTCCTACCTTGGACGACATGTTGTTTCTGTTTACTGACCATGATGTGACAAAAGACCGACCCTTCACCGATCTCTACGAAACAGAAGGAACTGGTGGCTGGCCCGGCCCTCACTTTATGGCTAGACCGGTCGTCGGAGGTCATTTCGCCTTTCTGGCACTGGAGAGAGCTTGCGGGGGCAAGGCTGTTGAGGGGTTGAGCTTCTTGGACGAGCCTGCATCGTTTGCGGAGGTGAATGTCGGAAAGGCGCTGGAGGCTGAGATGGTGAGCGGAGGTGTTCTTGGCGCAGAGCAACAAGTAGTCATTGAGGATCTGTAAGGCGTGGGCCTTTTGGCATGAACGCTTTAGATGCCGTTCTCCATATTTCAAGATGGCCATTGATCAAAACCATTCAGCAAGGTGGTCGTACCATCATAGTCGTATTATACTGTATGCTGACGACCAAACGCATCTACCCAAATCTCGAGTACTTACGTTGCAAAATGCTCCATCATTGCAGCCAAAATGAAAACATTTGCGAATAGACTGCGGACGCTGCATTACGCCGGCCAGGGAATTGTCTTGTCTTTGTTCTTTAATTCAGAATGTTTGAGGGTTCCTGAACCTTCCTCACATGTTGTGGCCATGGCAACTGCCCCTTTGTCAATGAAAGATATTGTTCATTGTCGCTTATCCCTGTATTCGGACTTTTGGACACTGCGTACCTCAGCTAGGCGAGCGACCTGCAGTGTCGCGAGGTAGTTTGGTAAACAGCCCGGTGGACGAGTATCAACTTCCTCGGCCAAATTTAGCCTCTCGATGGGTGGATGAAAGAAAATACCAAACCATGGGCCCAGAAAATCTGAATGTGATCAAGTAACATGCATGTCAATATCCAATTCAAGAAATGCCCATTGTGCATGGGTTCGGTATGGTCATCGCTCGCGCAGGAAGTCTTATTGGATTGAAAAATCAGAAAAGGTCCGCGCTTTGGCCAACTGGCGACAGGGAGATGTAACCGTACCTAATGCAGTCAATTGGCTGTGTCTTTTCCCTTGCTGTTCGTGCTCACCCACGGTCCAGGAAGTGCCTGTCACCGAACACCCACAATTCCTGCCTCAGCACAGGCACTGGTAGGCAGGTAGTCAATCAATCAATCAACTCATGGAATCGATTCACGGATGGTTAAGGTGCGTGCCTTGTTTGTAGGTATCCTACCACCCGTCACCACCCACCTTCCTGGTGTCCAGCAGTAGGCATTGGGTGCGGTTTCCTTCTGGCCCATTCCTTCGTTCGCCCTGCCTTTTCACCAACAGCGAAGACAGGGCCGAGCCATTGAGAGTACCATACATAGGTTGCATAACGTAGGTACCTAGCCTGCTGCAAAAGCTGCATTTTGTCCGCCTTGCTCATGTTCCAGTCTTGAATTCGCCCAGAAAGCTGACCATTCAGGTGCTGCACCAACCCTGCGCCTTCCCCTTCCGTCACAAGCTAGGTAAGGTAGGTACATTCACCGGACCTGGGGTGTACCTGCCGCTGCTGCTGTGAATAGTGGTAGTACGGTCTCAAGGTAGGTACCTTTAGGTAAGACAGGCAATGCTTAGTGCCTTGACTACCTGGCTGCAAAGACAGGCAAGGCAGGCGCGCCCATACACCCGACACACGCACACCACACACACCACACACACACCTCACCCATTGACCCCGTGGACCATCTTTCTCTCCCTCTCTACCTACCTCTCTGTACCTCGACCACAAACGTCCCTTCCTTCACCTCACTTTCTTCACCTTTCCCTCCCTCCCACAATCGGCATCTCAAAGCCTCGTCGCTTCCTCAATTGATGCCTTTCGTCGTATAATTACTACATCGACGATTGTAACAAAAATTTTCCTATCTTCGTCCAGTCTCTTTTTTTCTCTCTCCCACGTACGCATCCCCTTCCTTACTTCCCCAAGGTTCCCCTTCTTGTTGGGTCCGATCCGCTTCGCATCCTCCCTTCTGACCAATCGCCGCAACAGAAGAGTCTGCGTCACCGGCTTTCGCGTCGTTGGCCAATTCTATCCACAACCAACATCAAACACTGTCAACGAACAACAACTCGTTTGTTCACTAGATCATTATGGCTTCCACCGCTATGGATTACGAGGCCGCCAACGGCGACCGCTACGATGGTTCGTTCTTTCTCGATACAGACCGCCCCCCAAAGCACGACGAGGCGCTGACAGACAAACGCGACACAGACGAGGCTCCTCGTTACGAGCGCGACAACCGCAGCGCCTCCCCTCGCCCTGCGCGTGATGACGGAGACTCTGGACGTCGTCGCTCTGCTTCGCCCTCTGGCAACGGTGACCGCGACCGCGATCGGTAAGCAAACACAAAATTTTGATGAATTCCCTTTTGTTCAGACAATGTTCGATTGCTGACACGTACTGTTTCCCTTTTCAGTGGCGCCAAGGATGAGACTGGCTCCCGAGGTGGCGACCGTGATGATGACGGCGCCATCAATCCTGGCTCCAACCTCTTCGTCACTGGCATTCACCCCCGTTTGACCGAGCAGGAGGTCACTCGCATGTTCGAGAAGTACGGTGATGTCGAGAAGTGCCAGATCATGCGCGACCCCCACACCAAGGAGTCTCGTGGATTTGGCTTCGTCAAGATGGTCACTTCTGACCAGGCCGACGCTGCTAAGGAGGGTCTGCAGGGAGAGCAGATTGAGGGACGCACCCTGAGCATCGAGAAGGCTCGTCGTGCTCGCCCTCGCACTCCCACCCCTGGCAAATACTTTGGCCCCCCCAAGCGTGGTAAGCATTTGCTCTGTCAATAGGATTACTTTAGGAGAAGTCACTAATGCGGCATTCAACAGAGGGCGGTGGTGGCGGAGGTGGCCGTGGAGGCCGATTCAACGACCGTTACGACGACCGTCGTCGCGGAGGTTACGGCGGTGGCGGCTATGGAGGTGGTGGCTACGGAGGTGGCCGCGATGACCCCTACCGCTACCGCGGATACGAGCGCCGTGGAGGCTACGAAGACCGCGGCGGTGGCGGTGGCTACGACCGTGGCTACCGTGAGGATCGTGGCTACGACCGCAGCTACCGTGAGGATCGGGGCGGCGCTGGTGGCTCCGGCGGCTACGAGAGACGCGAGCGTGGTGGTGACGACTCTTACAGCAGCAGCGGCCGTGTCGACCGCTACGGCGGCGGCGGTGGCGGACGTGAGGACCGTGGCGACCGCTATGCTCGCGGTGGCGATGACCGCCGCGGCGGTGGTGCTGCTGGCTACGAGAGACGCGAGCGCGGTGGTGATGATACCTACAGCAGCAGCCGTGACCGTCCTCCTCGCGATGCTCCCGCCGGAGGTGCGGCTTACGCCGACGCCCCTGCCCGCTCCGAGGGCCGTGAGGCCTATGGAGGTTGGAAATCCCAACCCCAGTGATTTCGCTGTGGTCTCGAAGCTAACGTGTATAGGCTCTCGCTAATTTCTTAACGCTCTCTTCCGGAGTCGTCAATATGCCCGGTTTGATGGCGACTGACGGATCATCCCTTTCCTCTTTCCTAGTTCGATCGATTACGGCGGATATCCCAAAATTTGCGTCTCATGAAGTTCTTGTGCACTACAACTAGTATGGGATGGATCACAAAATGGGAATTTTTCGGCCTGCGTGGTTCACGGCTTCTTAACCTCGGTTTATCGGTAACAATGGCTGTAGGCGAGAACCAGCTGCCTTTTATTTGGGTGCTGTTTCTCAACCCGGTCTCTGCAGTCGACGAATGTTTGGCGGTGTCTATGGTAGCTATGGCAAACAATCAACACGGCAAAAAAACGGCAGGCATCGACAGGCTTTGGCCAGAGTGACAGTCACTTCCCCCTCGTGGACCAGCACTTTCGTTACACCACATCGTGGGCCTGCGGCGGTCCACGATTGTTTCTACGCACCACTTTCCACCTTGTACCATTATCTATCGCGTCCCACATCGGGGTCGAGTCGAGTTTGAGACGGCTTCGCAAATCCGACATGGCTCTTTCGATGCAATTTTCAGCATGATAAAGATGTTGACCAGCAATGCAACATGAATGACAACCGCGTCCCTTAATTCAACTAAAACGTAACTGTGCCGCCTGAACGCCACTATTCAAATTCAACCCTCATATCGTAAATGAAACGCCTCTTTTCCCGCCATCCACACCCTCTATTGTTCATTTCATCGTCATGTCAGCACAAATCAGTGGTACGGGATTCAACGAAGTCGTGGCCCTTGCTTCGCCGCGTCATTCTGATCACCCATCTCCAGCGCTTCTTGGCCGTGTTTAGAGCGTCACATGGCCTACGTGATAACAAAGCACAAAATTTATTTTAAAGGTATCTCCCCCCAAATGCTCTGAACCAAACTGACGCTTTAGCAAAGACATCGCTCTTGCAGTGAAAATTCGTTCCGCTTGGAATGTGGATGCCTGACATAGCCTTGGCGTCCATCTCCTACGTTTGCTTCGCCACTTACTCTACTTCCTTTTTTTTTCGCCAGCTTTTCCGATTTTGCGCAGGCGGCCAGCCTAAGTTCCAACGCGCAGTGCGGCCCACCTCTCAGGCCTACCCCATCTAGTTGTCTGCTGTCTCAGTCACGGCGCGGGGTTTGCCTTTCGCATGTTGGTTTGGAAATATTTCCTCCCGTTCCCACACGGCTTCTGGCAGGGCTTCCCCTACTGCTGCAGAGACGTTGCTTAAACGCATCGTGGCTCAACCCTTGATGAGGTCTGCTGTATTTAACAGCCTGCGGCCTACAGAGACCGAGACCTTTGTCATCTGCGTCAAAATAGCGTTCAATGTCGAACGTAGTAAGCACGAGCATAGTCTGCTTGGACCATGCCAATCGCTTGGAGTCTCTCAACTCTCCCAACATGGAACCGCCTAAGGGGTTGTCCGATCTTTCACGTCATCCCGCTGGGAAGAGTAACTGCTACACAACTTGAACTTGTACCTGAATGGTAGTTAACAGCACGAACCAGATAGGCAGTATCATGGCTTGGTACGTTAATATAACACAAAGACATTAAAAGGAGTCGGACAGTCCATGGCGTTGCACCAGTCGTCTAGAAGTTTGGGAATCATTCATCATTTAGTCGTAACTACGGCTGCGAATACATGATCTTCAGCTCGGGTACTCGGCCTCAGTCGTTTCTTGGTGCCTGTGACTGGTTAGGCGCAGGCGCAGGCGCACCAATAAGCCAGCCAACGCCTGACGTCAACGTGCCCATGGCTGCCTCGCGTAGCTGGTCGCGCTTCCTCGCCCTGGGGTGATCATCATGCCCATCCCATTCACCGTCAGGCGCCGAGCCTGATGAGCCCGGCGCAGGAGCCGCAGCGGCGGCAGCGGCGGCGCCACCACCGGCAGATTGCTGTAGCGTCGAGAGTGCGGTGAAGTTGCGAGTCGCCGCGCGAGCCGTTGCACGCGAGAGGTCGAACAGCGACATGGGGGCGTCATCTCCGGCCTTGGTCGCAACCGCGGCTGAGGGGCGGGCCTGCCGTTCGCCTGACGACCGGTGAGATCGCACCGCCGCGGGGGTTGCGTCGAAGCCGCCGGGCATACTAGAGTGCTCTGCAGCGCCCAGGTCCTCTTCGCGCGCAGCGTCCTCTTTGATAGCCGAGTCGAGCTGCTCTTCGCAGCGGCGGAACGTTTTGAGAATTTCCTGTAGCTGCGAGGGAGGCGCGATTCTCAGGGCTGTGGCGAGGCAGTCGATGCGCTGTTCTAGGTGCCTGATGTCGGGATTCCCGCTGGCGTTGCCCAGGTGTGTCGGGCGTACTGTTCGGGCACTCCTGATGTACTGCCCGGCCTGCAGGGCAGCCCTCCAGGACCAGTCGTCGTCGACTTTTACCGTGGAGCCTGCTGATGCATCCACCCCGCTGCTGAGCCGGTTGACGATGTATGAGTACGCCGTCTCAAAGTCGTCTTCTTTCAAGGCTGCTTCGATACACATGCCTGTGATGCGTTGTGTCGCAGCATCGACTTGCTGCCCATTCTCTTCGGCTTGAGCTGTAGCTGCGGCGACCTTGTTGTTGCGGTCCACGAGTCCGGCGCGAACCATGTTGGTGCCCACATCCAAGAGGTCATGAATGCGAGTGTAGCTCTTCGGGTTCTGCTCTAGAACCTTGCCAATGATGGAGACGGGATCTGAGTGGACACGCAACACGATGGGAGTGAAGGGTTCGCCTTGCCTCAGGACCAGCCGGTATTCGCTGAGGGCATGCGTTGCTTTCAGCAAGGAGTCGATACGGCGCCGCTCAGGGAGGGACTTGTGAATCGTTTGAGGGAAGGCATTAATACTGGGGAATGATTAGCGAGAGTCCGTCGTGGTACGGGGTTTCCTACGCACATCTCGTCACATTTCTTGAGGCCGCCCCTCGCGCGGCTCGGGTTCGACGCATTGTCGTACGCGTTGAGCGCAGCAGCTACGATGGTCTCCTGCACTATTTGCGGCGACAGCGGCTTGTTGGTGGCGTCCTCATATAGGGACCTTGCGAGCGAATACCCTAGCCATGGTTAGCAAAGCAGAGTCATGGATAGTGTATGGTACACATACGTGCACTGGACAGGAGTGCCCTCAAGATCTCGGTCTCGATAACTTCCGACTTGACCTTGGCGAATATTCCCATCACCTTGCCCTCTGGCGTGGGGGCAATACCCCAGTCTCGGAGCCAAATAACTTCCTTTCGTGCCTTGATCCAATATGTTTCGTCATTCTTAGGAGCCTTCTCTGCTAATGTATGTATCAGCTGAATCACCTCGGCCTTCTGGTCTCTTTCATCTTGGATGAACGCCAAGTCTCCAGCTCTCTTGATAGTGCAAGGTAGTCCACACTGCGTCAGTATGAATGCGCTGAGGATCAGGCCATGGAGAAGGCGTGTTGACTTTCTCGACGGCTTGGTGAGAGGGTTCGAATCCTTGAGCAGGTCGTCTCGCATAAAGGCAGTGTTCTTGTGGTTCAGGATCCCATCACCTTCCAGATACGCAACAGCAGATAACGTGTCTGCACCCTCGCGAAGTGACATCATATCATCCTGGCCTAGTAGGTCCATGACCTTCCTCAACATTTGGTGTGCTCCTTCGAGCGCTTCTACGCTGGCCTCTGGTACCAGGTAAGCGCACGCCATGATTGCTCGTGCATAGCGGCGATCGAGATGCTGCTGTTGCTGCTCACTGAGCCACACAACATCATGCTCTCCCAGATCTACGTCTACAGCGCCTCCCCATTGCTCAACGGCAGCAACAGCCACTCTCCAGGAGCTCGAGCTCTTGGAAAGAAGCCATTCGAGGAAACGTTCCCATCCCGCACTGTAGACGCCCTCCTCTGTCGATTCAGTCTCGTCTAAGCGTTTCCACCGCGCGTCGTCATGCAACCAAGGCACAAGCATGCCTCTGAGATCTCTCCCTATCAAAGTATAATCCTCCGGCTGCGCGCCCGTCTGGGACAAAAGAGCATCAATGGCGGCGCCATCTGGGAGACTCTGAAACTCGGCCAACGTATACGGCACGCTTTCCGTCGGGTAGTATTCGTAATTCCTCCTTAGCAATGGCAACACGGTTGAAACCATCCAGACCCGGATACCTGGAGCATATTGTATAAAAGGGCCAAGTAATTCGGGAAGCTGGTTGAGCAGGCCGGCCTCTTCGTCGACACGGTGTGCTCGGTGGAGGAGGAATAAAGTCAATGGATCGTCGTCGGTTTCGACCGTGATATCCTTCCTAGCTAACGGTAGCAAGTGGAGTCTGCGAACCTTTTTCGCAGCATCCTCGTCCGACAAGTTCTCGACGATAGAGTAGTCGATGTTCTCAGCTTCGCGGTCGATGAATTCGCCAGTCGAAAGCTCCTCTAAAAAGGAAAGGTAATCGCTAGAACTAACTGTCTCGGGCAGATAGGTCAAGAGGATGCGCAGAACAAGGTCCTTGCGTAGGACAGTGGCATGTCGAGAGGCAAGAAAGGCCAGGCTTTCAATATCGGCGTGGATGGCTAAGTGGACAGCCAAAAGCACAAGCTTCGGCGGGGACAGGACGAGGCTCATTCTGCAAGGACCCGAGGCATGTCCAGTCTAGTATGTCGTCGGGAAGTTTTACTGTGAGCTGACCATGAAGCGCGGGACTCAGTTGGTCAGAGGAGCTATCGCGAACCGATGTCGGTATATCGGGGCGTTGAACAAGTCGACAGGTGCAAGCGCAAGTGCAAGTGGACACAGGCACGGGCATCAAGGTCCAACTCCCCGAAGCGTGTTCAGTTGGGACTTGGGGTGCATGCACTTAGCTTTCGTCATAAGGTACCTAAAGAAAGGTACCTTGCCTGAGGTGCTGAGTGGATTGAGTGCCAGGTGCTCCGATTGGCAAGCGTGTCAGTCCAGGGAGGAATAGACGCGCGCTAGCCCCGAGAACTCACGGTCCCGGCGGAAGTGCTATTGGAATCAGGTACCTTCTGATAGGACAATATTTGCCAGACAGCCGCGGACTCTTCCATTGGCACAACCACCTTCCAGACTTTCGACTTCGCGATTGCGTCTCCACGACAGTACCCGACGACTTGAAGCTTCATCAAACCACCAATCGGCGCTTGTATATCCACAATGGCCTCTGGATACGGACTTCACGGAGGTAATTACCCATTCCCGTTGCCATTGATGCCGTACTGATCCTGTGACGCCTGCTAGGCCCATCGCGGTGCTTCCCCTACTGGCAGGAGCTGCTCGGCTGCTACGTTGTCAACACCAACGGCGAGGACCACTCAGAGAAGAAGAAGTGCGGTTTGGCTCTGGAGGATTACTACGAGTGCTTGCACCACAAGAAGGAGGTCTGTCAGACCCCTCGGTCCCTCAATCCCTCGAACCCGAACCCTCAACCCCGGCATTCCCACCACCAGAGGACCGATCACTAACCAGTGGCACGAACACATGCAGGCTGCGAGAACGAGGGCGCTCCAGGCTGCCTACCGAAAGGCCGAGTCCGCCAGTGCACGAGACAACGCACCGAGCGCGGGGCAAATACGCAACCTGGGGCTACTCGGCAAGGAGGACGACACGAAGGTCGTGACGGGGTCGAGTTGAGCGAGATAAAGTTAAAGCCGGGCTCGAGAAGGGCGAGACAACATGTACATGGCGCGAACCGAATAGGTAGCTTTTGCAAGCACCAAATGATCAACACTAGTTTTCTTTTCAGTGCATGGAGATGTATTGCTTATGTGCTGTTCGGGGATCTAGGGAGATGCCAATTCAACTGAGACGATACACATCTCCTGAATCAGAAGATTCGAATGCGTTGAGGAGTTATTGAACATATGTATGGTGGTGGTGGTGGTGGTGTTATGCTGTTACTAGCCTCAAAGCGGTGGGCTTCCCATACGCCATCTGAGAAGGCTGCGCATGTAGGTAGACGAAAGGGAAGCAATTGCCAACGTAGGTACTTAAGTATGGAGCTTAACCTTACCGGCGAAACTTGCGAAGAACGGCGGCAGGAGCAGGTGGCGAGAGCAAGGTAGCATATATACGTACTGAGGGAAGGTGCAGTCTGCAATACACCAGAAGCCGCACCTGCCCTGAAGAAAAACCGAATCAGTCGTCGATTCGCACTCAGCCCAAAATTTCAAGACGCTTCACTCCTAACTCACCTACCAGTTCCTCCAGACGCATATTCCCAAAATACCACCCCGATCAAATTCCTGCTTCTTCCACATCCCCTCGACTACCCTCATAGCTACCACTAATCACCATTCCCTTCCTTTCCTTCGAGTGTTGTTCTGCAAACTTGGCTGGTTCCACGGTAGACCTCGTCGAACTCGTTCCCCTAGGCATAACCAATCGTCAGCCACACAGACACAATGCCTAGCTTCAGGGGCATCGACGTCTCGATCGTGCCCGGTCCCAACATGGAGGGATTGCCCGAGCTCCCTCACCCCGAGTCCTCCTCTGTCCGACTTCGGGGTCCTCATACAGCAAGCCCGATATCGACCACGGCTTCCAGCTTCACTTCGACGCCAGAGAAATGCAGACCGACAACATCCGTCTACATTCCCTCGTCGCCAGGTCTGTCACTACTTTAGCTTGCTTCATCAGTGCATTACACCAATTGGCCAGAATTGACATAGGTGATACAGGATCCCAGTTCCACTTGAGGTACTCAATCAACAAGCCTCCCACGGATAGCAAATATCTGTACTTCAGACTGACTATGAACGGCCGTCAGGTAGTTGATTGGGGTATAAAGTCCCAAGCTACCCAGAGCCAGATCGTTAGTCATGCTCTGTACGAGCCCGATACCAAGTGGCATTATCGAGAGTGTGGCGTCACCTACAAGCGTGAAGGCGTTGAAAAACGTTTCTTTCACTTCACGCCGCGCTCCGAGACATCCGCTGCCATGGATGGCGGCCTCATCGACCTTCAGATTTTCCGATCCTACGGACGAAGGAGGAGGGCACCTCAACTTGATGACTTTCGCAGTCAAGATCAATATGGGATCACGTAAGATTTCTTCTCATAATCCACCAAGCACTTCGACTAGGCTGATTCATGACATAGATCACCAACCGGCGGCCTCGTGGAGTCACCTCAAGATCTCACATTCTACGACTGGGCCCTTGTCGACCCTGTCGACTCTCCATTCGCTACTTTCCGCTTGTTCTACCGCACTTGGGAAAACTTGAAGGCGCTAAACTTGGTCTCAGAGGCGCATTATGAGGAACTGATGGCCTCAGATGCACAGAGTGGACAATTGCCTAACAGACCAAAGACGCCAAACCACAATGAGACTGGAAGCTATACTCGAACCCACCCGAGACCATCTGGCCTCGAATCCCTTGACGGTCTGGTCTTTGAGAACAGCAACAAAGGTCGGAACAAGATGAGAGAGAGGCAGAACTCGGCTGCCGAGAGAGACTTCTACCTTGAAACACCACCCAAGCTCGCTCCTCCGGCCCCGAAACCGACCAAGATGCCTCAACCCAACAAGCTAGCGCGAGAGATTCGAAAGGTGTCAGACCCTCTTCGACCTCTGCCAATGCTTCCTGATTTTGAACCATCGATTAGCAGGCAGTCACTAGAATCGACGAGAGCACCTTCAGTCGCGCCATCGCTCTTACCGTACATTGACGAGTCGAGTGGTGGTGAAGAGTTTGAGCTTGGAGTTGCTAGACAGGTGATGCTGCCCTCTCTGTCTCAAGAGCTCCCAAAGATAGATCCTCGCCGTCCTCTCCCATCTCCGCCTCGAGGCCTTTCAGCGTCTTCGTCCGACTATGACATGAGTCCTCCTTCTACGGGTGGCTTGGAGGTATTTAACAGGGTTGGGAGGCAAGATTATATTGCAGCAGCGCGTGCGAACGCCATGAGGCTGCGAGGTTCGTCCATCAGCAGTCTGAGTTTCTCAGGCCATTCCATTCGGGACCCCAGGGGCGTCGGTTCTGACCCTGGCATGACGTCAACTGTCGATAACTTTGACAACGTGAGCCTCTCCGAAGGGGAATGGCTCAAGAGGAGTCCATCGCCTTTGCGTCGCAGACGTGGCAGATTGAATCTCAACAAGTGGAGTGTTCGAGAGAGAGGAATGAAGGCCAATGAGACTTCCGGGTTCAAGAAGACAGATTCGGGTTATCTGTAGGACTACTTTGATCATAGGCACGAATTTGTTGAAAGGAAAGGAGCACTTCAGTGGCCAATTCACTGACCATGTTCAGAGAAGGCCTGTATGTTTCTGAGAGATGTTGGAAGCTACTGGCCATGAAAAATGAGAGGCATACGCAAAGATTTTCCATAGACCGAAATTCAAAGCCTTGCTAAACAAAGAAACGAACGAGAAGTGAACCGTCATTAGTGCATCCTAAATACAACAACTCAACCGAAAACAAGCTCTAAGGATCGATATAATGGCAATATAACTTTCTTTTAAATGGTTTAGAGGCTTCTTGATGCTGACTTGATGAGAGAGATATATAGACATTGAATAGTTTTATCTTAGCTATTATGCGTCTGTCATAAGGTATACATTATTGAATACGTCGCTAGTAACGCGGAAGTGTTTAAACAGGATTGATTGCGTTATAAATCTTCCGTGAGGGTTGAATGTTGCCTTTGAATATGATAGAGCCTCGTCGGAGTAAGGACCATACGACGTTATCAATGGCGTTGACGAAGACGGAAACCAGCGACTTCCTACATGAAATTTAAATACGCTCAAATCAAACACTGCAGAAACCCGTTGTTGTCACTTTTCCCTCTGCTTATCAGTCACTTCGTCGTCCTCTATGAGCAGTTTATTTGCACTGGTGATTCTGAGTTATCCAAAACATTTGCGTAAGAATTCCGATTTCACACACCACAAGTAGAACCTGAACACTCCTCAGAGCTATATCTCACCATTTGGGCCCGAGGAGGAACAAACCAATCTCGTGAGGAGTAGACAACCCCCGAGGGCTCTACATCACCACCACTTCTCACACAGAACCCGTTCAGGTCTGAGATTCAACCCGCTCTTCGATGTGAGGCTCTCGACCAACTCATCAGTCATGGACGGGATCCCGCAGACGTACACCAACGCACCACCGCGTTCCGCTTCGGGCCCCAAGGCTTCCGCCACGTCTTCCAGGCCCATACGGCGCCTCTTGAACGGGACGTCCATCTCGTTGCACTGTAGAACTGACTCACCGGACGCGGTACCGGGACCGAGGCCGGTTAGGAACAACCTCATCTGACCACGGACTTTTTCCCCGCCGAAAATGGCCGCCAGCCGCTCCATGAAGAGAATCTTTTCGGAATCGAGGTGGCTGCCCTCGCCAGACTCTTCTGGCGGCGACGCCGACGACGGCACCTTTGTCGAGTACATGAACTGGACGTCGTACGGGCAGCCGCCCTTCCCTTCAATCCCTTCAGCCAGGTAACTCACGATACTCATCAGTGGATTCACGCCGACGCCGCCTGCAATAAAGACGATTCGCCGCAGGGAGGCCAAGTCAGCAATTCCCGGGGGCGGCCAGACAAAGGACCCGCCGACGCGGACCTGAATCTCTGGTTTCTTCTCTACCTGGGAGGGGCATTCATTTTCGTCGTCGTCGACGGCTTGGTCCCAGAGCCAAGCAGCGGCCGGGTTCGCCGGCGACTTTTGCACCGCGAGCTCGAGGTACGCGGATCTCGGTAGGACAGCCTTGGACGGCGGGCTGGTGAGGGTGAAGCCCCCTGCCTTGGGCACGCCGGGGACGTAGGTGTCGAGCCATTGGCCTGGGAGGAACTATTTTCCCGCAATTAATTAGTCACGTCTGATCGAGAGCCTGGCCATGTGAGAGGCAACCCGGGAGCCACGACCAGAGATGGGGATGTTTCCGCGCCATGTAAGTCGCGTATGTAAACCTCATCCTTTGAAGGCGGCAGGCCAATTGTGGATGCCGAACGTACCTCGATCCTCGACCCCTCCTTTACCCCAAGCCGGAAGAGACGGATTTCCTCGTTTACGGCATTGACTCTAACAAGTGTAACGCTGTGCAATGTCTGTCTTCCTTCATGAGTACATTGGTACTGCTGACAGCATAACAGCTTGGGGGTGGGCGGCTCCCTACAGAATCCCGGGGTTGAGCCGCCGTGCGCTCGGTATGCGACGTCGACGTTTCCCCCGACTCCTTGCCCATATTTCGAAAAGTGGAGGTGTAAGCACGAACTTGAGGAAGGCGGACGAGGAAACGACTGTATTTGAGGGTGACGGGGCCTGTACGCGGTTGATACATCTGATTTTGGGAATTGATGTTGGCTCCGCTATCAGAGGTAGGTGAGATGGATGGATGGATGCCTGCATCGAGGTCGGAGAGCTCGGTGATGTGTGCATGTCATTGTCCCGCACTTGGCCAAGCACTACTACAACACAACGACAACGACGCATATGTAGAAAATATTACGTCGACAACAGAGCTATATATGTTATGTCATCACGGGTCAAGTCCAGTCAGAAGCAGGTGATTTCAACGACGGTGTGCTTTTAATTGCGCCCAATCTTTCATCCTCGCAGATCTTTCTATTCTTCAATACGCTTGCCTTGTCATCGTAAGCATACAAGTCCACGCCACCGCCCAAAGAGAACATGCGCCAAATCAGGACGGCTCGGTCCAGTTCACCTGGTCCATCACGTCTCCGGCAGACGAATGCCCGTACCCGATCCTCAGACGTAGTCGCAGCGGCTGAGAGAAAGTTAGCAATGTGACAAAAAAGTACAAGAGCAAAGAGGGGAAAGAAACATACTCCCTTGGCTCCAGACACAATCATTCTCTGGGTGGCTTCGGCACCAGGACCAACATCCGTGCTCGAAATGGCCATGAGCTGCAGCTTCTGCGTCTTGGGAACAGCTGCTTGTAATCCCACGTTCGACAAAGGACTCGGGCCTGAGTTTCTGAAGCGACCGATAACCTGAACGAGACCCTCAGCATTGCGCTGGATCTGGAAGCTGACATTGAGACCATTGTTGTCGTAGACAGGAAGGCCTGCGGGTGCCTGCGGGGTGGCCTGCGCCTGGGGCGGAGGGGTTGACACGGCGGACATGGAAGACATCAGATCCATGTTCGAGCCACCCATAACTGGTGCAGGGGAGCCCACTGGCTGGGCAGGACCTTGAGAGAAGAGGTCCATGATTGAGGCTGCCTGGGATTGTTGCGGGCCGGGAGATGTCGATGTAGGGGGCGATGAGGTACCGCCCAGAATGTCGGCGAGAAGGTCGGTGTTAGAGGCGCCACCGGCGGCAGGTGTAGTTGTTGGAGGGGTGTCCATAAGGTCGAATAGGAGATCCTGTTCGGTTGGCTTGACGACCCTCGATTTCCTGTTGGCGGCCTTAGCCTTCTTTGTGGTGGTCGCCGCGCCCAGTACGCGGGATTCCTCCTTGATTTGAGGAGGCGGCATCTTCTCAAGAACGCCAGAGCGGATTTGGTCGTACGAGAACAGGTTGGTGTACTCAACAGCTCTTTGCTGAACCTCAACATCCAAACTTGTCTGGTGGACTTCAAGCAACCGGCGAATGCGATCCAGTTGCGCGGGATCCGACAATCTCGTCGTAAGCTTGACGAGCGCCGTCACGATGTACTCGGTCGAAACTTGGGTCGCGTGGTTGCTGTTGAGGATAGTCGTGAACAAGTCGATGAGTTCGTGCTGCTTAACCTCACGAACCAGTTCTTCCTCTTCATATTGCCCACCTCTCAATAGGGCATCGCCGTACTCGCCGATACACCACGCTCCCGCTTGTGTAAGACTCTCCTGCGTAATATCCTTCTTCAAGTTGATATAAAGCTTCTGAACGGCGTAGGTTTGCAGTTCAGGGGTAGTGGCCACCAGTCGGATAAATGATGACATGATGGGCTCCTTAACATAATTGCCGGCGAGCGTCAACACTCGCAACATTGTGTCGACGTGCCAGCGCTTGTTCGGTGCAAATTTGTCGGCAGCAATGCCTATTTGACTGGTCATGGTAGGCTTGAACTCATTGTCGGCGACCTCCAAGAATGCAAGCAATTCCCGAATGAGGACCCGCACGTTGCTCTCGTTGATAAGCGTAAAGCTGAGTTCGAGCGCTCGCCTCCTGATGCTGATATCCGGGTCTCTCAAGCACTCCAAAATGGTGTTGCGATGTCTCTGGACAGCGTTTGGCTCGATGGCGACCACCTTGATAAGAGTGTTGAGCGCAACATAACGGATGTTGTTATCGCGGTTGGACAGGAACTTGCCCAGAATATTGACACCGAGTACGCGAAGACCAGAATCCGCCTCAATGTCGAGGATCGTGAGGACGGCCTCATACAAGATGGAGTTTCCGACGTTCTTGGAGGAGTCCGTATTCGTCGCAACCTGTGCCAGAATATCGTTGATCTGCTCACTGACATGTGCGTCGCCCGTAGCCAAGGCCCTCAAGAAGCGGAGGATCTTGACTTGCACAAACGGATCGCTGATACCTGTGACGTCATGCTCGGGAGCATATCCAGAGGTTGCGAGAGCCTTCAGTGTCTTGACCAGGTTCGGTACAAAGATCTTGAACTTCTCGACAATGTCCTCATCACCATCCGCATCTTCCTCTTCGTCGGCCTCGCAGAAGCTGGTCGCCAGGGTCAGGCCGCACAGCTGGACGCCGTGGTTCCGGTCGGCCAGCAGGTTGCTGACCTTATCGACGAAGTGCTCTTTCAGGTCTGGGACCTTGCGACATATCCGCATGGCACAGAGCGCCGCCTTCCTTCGAATATACGGGTTCGATGTATTGACGCAGGCTTCGACTTGCTGGAACAGGTCTCGCGACATCTCAATGGAGGCGATGTTACCCAGGGTACAAAGGGCCAGACCGACGACATACTGATTCGAGTGGGCGAGATCACTATTCCATATTAGCTATGGTGTCAATGGCCATAATGTGTTGCCAGTCCTTACTTCTGCAGTGAGTTTGTCACAAGCGTCAAGACCTCCTGGTTTTCGTCAAGCAGCAGACTGGTAGCGAGATGGCCCAGTCGCTTGTCGGCAAATCGTGGAGAGGCCAGCAGCTTCAGACATTCGATCTGACCAAAATGTGTTCTCTCACCGAGGGTAAAAAGGTATAGGAGCTTGGCGACATTGTTCCGCCTAGTGATTCAACGTCAGCCCCGATCCATGGTGGGTTTTCTTTCGGGTTACAGTCCATTGCGCACCTCACGCTGTGGTCGCCGCTCTCTTCTCTGAAGCTTGCTCGGATGGAGGCGCTCTCTTTCTGAATAACGGCTCGTTCGTCGGCGATGGTCTTGGCGGCGCGAACGTTGCGGATGAACTGCTTCACTGGAGTGTCACCTAGGTCAGCTCCAGGCCACCGTCACAGGTACAGAGGGGTTTCATCATACAAGAACTCATGTTGGGCGACCGGGGGAATGGGCCCGCGGAGGGCCTTGGACAGGCAGCTGGGGCCTGGAGGAGAGGATTGCACGGAGGGGGTTGCAAGCTCGTCGAGAGCTCTCGAAAGGGCGAGTCGCGATTATCGAGGAGGCCTTTGAGGGTCGTGTTCCGGTAGACTTGCTAAGGACCGACGAATAGACCAGATAGACGGGGCCAAGGATGTCAGGCCCGGCGGGTTGAGCGACATGCATCCGTGGCCTGGCATTGGAGGTGCACCGTGCAGCGCCGTCACAAGTGTGGGGCCGACGTGTGGACTTGGCCCTACATTTCAGGCGTAAACTAATTATTTGTTACTTCAAAGGCCATCGACCTCTGATAGGGGGTTTTAGGGGTCCTTCAGCGTGTCGCGTAGTACCTTACGGATACCTCTGTAACCTACCTTAAGGCACCTAAGGTAGCTGGCATCCATGTTTCTAAGCTAACGGGATCTTGGCTTGTGTGCCTTGGCTTCACCACCAAGATAACACCTCATGTTCCCGAGTCTTGTAAGACCTGAAGAGCTTCCAACCAGGTATTTCCTATGCTACTTCCGATTCACATTTCGTTCGGTCCAAGTGTGTAGTACCAAATTGAACTCTGAATGTCAAATTCCTAGAAGCAGGGGCTTTCATTGACGAAACATCGTGTGCCAACCTCACGTGCACTATACCAAGCAGATAGTCACGACAACTGATGGCAGTCCCAGGTTTGCTTCAATATACGATACGCATACTCGGAATATTTAGAGGGGCGGATCGGCGCGGTGCCTGTAGCCCTGTCAAGCTAGATTGCTCTGCCAGCCGACCTAGCTCTCTGGCTCAGCATGTACCAGGCCATGGATAATACGTGTGGCACAATGTGATCATCTATCCATCTCCATGACTCCGTACTTTGATGAACAAGCTTACACAGTGCCTCCGTTGCCCGCAGTCAATGTCAGCCTGGGTGCAACAGACTACTTTGCCCACCCAGCGAGTGCTCAACGCAGTCGTTGGCGTCATATTTCAGCATGTGATGCTCGCCGCGGAGAAGCCATGGCAGCATACACACGCCGGGTACCAAATCACAAGTAACGTCAAGCTTCGCAATTGTACTCGATGAAATCGCCGGGTTGATTGACCTTTGCATTCGCCGCCCTGGAGGAGACCCCCTTCTAAGCGTAACTCCCGTATCATTCAAAATGTGTCTTGTGTCTGTGTCGGTGTAGGAGAGTGTGTTCGTTAAATAAGCATCGTGATAGAACGGGAATGAAACAGGCAAGCGTGCTGGCAGCGAGATGAATGCATAGAGCCCCCTCAACCGTCCGAATATCAAACTCGTCCTTTCGCTGGTTATTCTCGTATGCCAACTCCCACGGTCTAAAAGAATACCTTCTGACCAGCCTGGCCCTCTGAAGCCTGTTCGTGTCGTTTCTCGCAAGGAACAAATGCTGCGCGGCCAATGTCACCGTGAATGGTTTCGACCTACAGCCGCTCGACCAACTTGACGCCTTACTTCTGCATCATGAGTTGGACGAACTCGTTGTCTGGGAATGTGTGTTAGCAACGTGAGCAACGAGCAGCGTGAACACGGATGTCGCGTTCTTACAGTCAATACGTCCATCGCCGTCCTGGTCAGCCTCGCGAATCATCTCATCAACCTCATCGTCGGTGAGCTTCTCGCCGATTGAAGTCATGACGTGGCGAAGCTCGGCGGCGGAGATGAAGCCGTTGTTATCGCGGTCAAAGACCTTCCTCTGATCAGCATTATCCACTTGCGCGTTGCACTAGCTCTTCTTACCTTGAAGGCTTCACGAATCTCCTCCTCGGAGTCGGTGTCCTTCATCTTGCGGGCCATCATGGTGAGGAACTCTGTCAGGTTATTCGTCAGTGAGTCGCTTTCGTGTGCGTGATTGCCAGTAGTTGTTGTGTAGACCTACCAGGGAAGTCGATCGTTCCGTTGTTGTCGGCGTCAACCTCGTTGATCATGTCCTGAAGCTCAGACTCGGAGGGGTTCTGTCCCAGGGAGCGCATGACGGTGCCGAGCTCCTTGGTTGTAATTTGTCCTGTCCGTATTCTTTAGCTCCGTGCCCTGAAATCCACATGATCAATTCTCGACAATGTCCCAATGCTGTTCTCGTATCGAAGCGGTCGCAGGAGTCGAAATTGTACGGGCGCGGGGTCGAGAGAAAGGGAAAGGGGGGACCAGGTACTGACCATCGCCGTCCTTGTCCTATATGAATGGGTCAGCTAACCTTCAAAAATACCTTTTGAGCAAAAGGACATTCGTCCGGGACGAACTCGAAGGGACTTACAAAGAGGGAGAAGGCCTCCTTGAACTCGGAAACTTGCTCTTCGGTGAGGGAGTCAGCCTAGATTGAGGGTAGCCATGTCAGTTCAGCTCGCCGAAAATAGCGTCGGTAGCCCCTCAGTCGCGGGGTCACCTCACGAGAGGTAGCATAAAGGCGGGATAGAGGACGGAGCTCGGAGTTTGGGCAACTGACCATGGCGAATGTTGACGATGGTTTATTGTGAGAATACGGGACTGGTTCTGGAAGCGGTCTACGTCGAATGGGGCCGTATGGTATGGAGTTGGAAGATGTTCACGAAAGTATTCGGAAGCCTTGGCCAGATTAGATGCTACTGGATGCCTTTGGGGGGTCGAGCTTTTCTGTAGTGCGCCGCTCGTGGGGAGAGATGGGGCGGACCGGGGGAGAACGTCGGGCGATAGGGGGGCCGCGGGCGTCGAAGGGTCGAAGCTGACAGGCCGCCTGCTCAAGTCTGTGGCTGACAGGGAGAGCCATAGGTTGCCTTAACCACTGGGCAGCGGGCGTCTTGTCAGGACGGTAGCTTCATCTCTCAGCGTGTCAAGTCAGCGCGTCTCCCAGCCTGATGGGCCAATCTATGGTACCAGGGGTCGCTGTGCACTTGGCGGTGTCACCCAACCTAAGCTACGGGGTACCTACCTAGAGAAGCCCCTGAATGAAAGGACGACGGATTGGATGGACGGTCTGGAAGGTGCCAGGTGTCCAGGCGTCCCATTGCGCCCACTGTCTGGCCCACTTGTACTCCGTACCTTACCTACCTATTTCTCATCCATTGCGTTCCATCTTCACCTAAATTGAGTGCAGAGTGGAGGAAAAAGCTGACATAAGACACCCTGAAGCGGCGGATGCATAAAGAACAGCACACCAATTGACGTCGAGCAGTGCCGCATCGCCAACCCAAGGTACCTTACCTGAGGTAAGGCAAGGTAGCTGGGTAGGTACCTGAAGGTCCCTTACAGAGTCCCTCTTACTGCGGTAGAGGCAGGTTGCCTCGACGGTACGGAGCCATTGGGATTTGGCGCGGCCCACACGCGGCTCAATCCGCAGACAACCGAATAAGACCCGTGGACCTGACGCAATCCGTCCCCATTGCCAAAGGCTCCCATCCTGGCATGCGATAGCTGTCCATTTCATCAGCGAGTTAATGCAAGCTTGTCGGCGCATTTCTACACAGGGCGGCATAATCAACCAACACCACCACTACCACCACGCACTTCAACTCACTTTACTTTTTCATCCTATCACCTTGACTCGTGATCCAAGAGCTTCCCTACGTATCCGTGCTTGTCTTTTGTTGAGGACTCGACTTGGATATCTTCCAAATTAACCACAAATTGCTTTCTGCTAATTAATAAGTGCGACTCGAAGCTGAAAGCCGGCCGGACCTAGGATCTTTACGGGTATTAGACAGCTAAACCAATTCCGCCCTTGGCACAACTATATCATCAATCTGACGTACATTTCCTAAAAGACTCCCTCGACCACACACCATCCACGTCGCCGCAACCTTGTGCTCGCCCAACGCCAATGGTGTCCTGTTCCGTCATTGCGACCTCTCGTTCATGACGGCGACCCTGAGCGGCCCGCGCAGCGAGCGACAAAGGACACCAGGCTGAGCAGCGCCATTGCGGCCTACTCTGGCGTCCGCTATGTGGCGAGACCGCACGAATCTGTACGTCCAGTCGCCCTTGTTCGCCCTCTCAATACCCGCATCGTCTTCACCTGGGCTACTGCGACTTCAGCTTGCTAGACGGGAACAGCTCGATTACTGATTTGCTAACAACGCATTCCGACCTACAGCTACATTTCCTATCGGCAGTCGTACGCGCACCATCCGACAAAACGGACAAAGTACAGCGGTAGCGCGGCCGGTGGGAATGGCTTCGGCGATAGCTTCCCGGGGAACACCAGCTATGCCAGCGGCAACGACGACACGCGCGGTCTTCTCTCGGCCGGCGCCTTCGAAGATGATGGCGACGCCGTCATAGAGATGGACCTCTTGCCCCCACGCTGGGCCGACATATCCGACGAGATCACCGACCTCCTCGCCGATATAGCTACCAGGAGCCAGGCCCTCGAGCGCCTGCACCAGAAACACGTACTGCCGGGGTTCAACGATGAGGATGCGAAAAAGGCCGAGGAGCGGGAGATTGAGAGGCTCACGCAACAGATCACAAAGGGGTTCCATGACTGTCATGGTTGCATTCAACGAGTTGAGCAGATGGTGAGGGACTCGAAGCATTCCGGGACGATTACCAGCGCGGAGGAGACCATGGCGAAGAATATCCAGATATCCCTGGCTTCGCGGGTGCAGGAAGCCAGCGCGCTGTTCAGGAAGAAGCAGAGCGCATACTTGAAAAGTCAGTACCACGTGAATTGAAAGGAGAAAATGGTATGCTAACAGTATGTGCAGAACTACGCGGGATGAGCGGTCTCGGTGCGGGCGGCGTAGGCGTGCCAGGCGAAAGGGGATCGACACCTCAACCCTCCAACTCGTACCTCGATCCGTCCATGGTCGAGTCGGACGCCGACAGGTCCTTCTCACAGTCGACGCTCCAAGCAACGCAGCAAAAGCTCCTGCAGTCCAACGACGCGGCCATCATCCAGCGCGAGCGCGAAATCGAGGACATTGCGCAGGGCATTATCGAGCTCGCCGACATATTCCGCGACCTGCAGAACATGGTCATTGACCAGGGCACCATGTTGGATAGGATAGACTACAACGTGGAACGGATGACCACCGACGTAAAGGGAGCCGAGAAGGAGCTCGTCATCGCCGACACGTACCAAAAGAAGACGACGAAGCGCAAGATCATCCTGCTTCTCCTCCTCATCATCGCGGGTATGATCATCCTGTTGGTCATCAAACCCAAGAAACGCGGAGGCGGTGACGACGAGTGAAGGAATCCAATCGGGTACTTCAATGAAGAGACGAAGAAGTTGGTGTAAGCTAAATGTACGAATTTTCTTATTTTAGAACAAATGTCTAGCGATTATGGAATCCATCATCGACCTGCAATGATAATCAAGATCATCCAGCGTCGCTGTGTCTTGGGAATGAGTGTTATTTGTTACATGGTGTTACAAGAGGCGAACTGCTCTCGCGGCGGCAGTCATTGTCCTCTCTTTTGCTTCCCCCGTGCCTCCATCATGAGGTCTTGTAATTCTGCAACGTCTGGCAAAAGCCTACGTCCGGCCGCCTTGTTGAAAAGCTCCCGAATACGGTTCAACGGGGGCAATCCCGCATGCACCCTGGGCGCGCCGTTGGGTTGGGCTAGGTACGCCCGAGCCAGGCACTTGACGACCTCCTCCTGGACAACAGACGTTCGGAACGGAATGCCTCGATCACTCAGTACCGCGAGCAATCGCACGCCCCGAGCGAGGGAGAACCCACCGCCTGGAGCCTCCGTATCCGCGGGGAAATCCCCCGCAGGGTCGAGGCATCGCAACCCGCCGGCCTTGAATCCCCAGCGGACAATGGCGGCGTGTAGAGCGGGGTTATCAAAGATTCGGCGCATCGGGTGCTGCTCATGGGATATGGGCAAGTCTGTCGGGACAAAAACGTCTCTGGCCGAGCTCTCTACGCCCAGCGGCGGTGCATCCAGTGGATGGACTGGAAGCAGTCCGGCACTGGAGATACAAAGATGCCGGTGCGTGTCCAATATGCCAAGGCTGATGTCCTCCAACACGTCGAAGCGACCGAATTTGCCAAGTCCGAAGAGTACCTTCTGCCAGTAGCGCGAATGTAGAGGTTTTTGCAACAGCGTCAGGCGTGTAAGGAAGGCGATGGCCGTGGAAAACGCCTCCTGGTTGAGTGTGGTCGTTTTTGGGTTCCACGGCAAGGGATCGAGAAGACTCGCGCAGATGTGCTGTATCGTTGATGCGTGGACCCCGATATCCATCGTTCGCATTTCATCCAGCAAAGCCAACCCTTGTTTGAACCTCCCTTCGTCGACGAGATGGTGCAACAAGATATTCGACGTAGAGTCGACCGAGTCTTCCACCATTGCGGGCTGGACGGACAGCAAGAGCCGGTGTGTCTTCCAGTCTCCCTCATCAAAGGCCTTGTCACGGATGCTGGCAAGCATCGCGGGGTCGTCGAAGACGTCTGGGTGTATGTCGGTACGCAGCAGTTCCGCGAGTAGCTCGTCCTCATTATTCTCGGCGAATCGTTTCAGCACCCACGCGTAAGCTGAATGCCCAATGCCAATATTGACTGCCCGTAGCTGTTCGATCCGGGCCAAGACCCCTTTGGCTGTCGGTTCACGCAAGGCAATCGATTGGAGTGATAGAGGGCCGATGTGGTGCACCCCGAGGGCATGAACAGCATGAATCGCAAAGTCAAGAGGCACCCAAGAGCTTGCAAACCATCGCGCTCCAAGTTTGTCACTATGCTGTCTTCCCGGAGGCCCACTCTCATCGCCATGTGTGTCATGAATGACATTCCATAATGAGTCGTCCTGGGCGTCCCAGTAGGCCTTGGAGTTCAAGCCAATGACGACCTGTTCCTCTAGTTCGAGGGTGATGGTTGGGTAGTAACGGGCGAGAAACCTCAAATACGGCTGTGACTCGATATTCGGTGGGGGTAGATCATCGTGATGTATAAACGCCTGACGCCATCCGGCGCATTGTTGAGAAAGGCCGCTTTCGTAGAGGAGGGGGATGATCTCATTGTATAACCCGCGGTGTATGGCTGTCAGATACAGAGATTGTAATATCTGTTGCATGTCGGGGTCGCTGGTAGCCGCGAATTCTCGTAACAAGGCAGAGAAGGCTTCCTGTCCGGGGTCAAAGTTTGGCATCAGCCGCATGTGCCACTGCAGTGCTCGCCGGTACTGGCCCTTCCGGAGACAGTACGAGACTGTGGTCAGGTATAACGACGGCCATCGGGCAGAGTTAGCATCAAGGAGACGCTCTGCGAATAATACAACGTCCTTGAGTCTGTCCTCGTCGTGGAGGACGTTTTCCAGAATGATGCTCCATAACGATTTTGCTTCTTCGCTCGTCACGTCCCTCCATGACTTGCGTCGTTTCACAGCCTCCCAAACAGCAAGGACACCGCCTCTCCCCTGTTTTTGCTTTGCGGCAACAAGCACGCTGAGCCAGAGTGAAGGGTCGTCCTCGTTCTCCGGTATTCCGCCGAGTTCAACATAGGATTTATCGGAAAGCCAGATGCCTCCTTCTGGATCGATGCTGGTGCCGGAATCGGGTTCTCGTTGTATGAGACGACCTCGAATGGTTCGAGGTTGAAGAAGGGCTGTTCTCGATCCAAAAGGCAGACTATCTGAAGGTTTCGGCGGACTGTCCGTGTTGGTGGTCGTGCTGCTCAAGTCGCGGGCATTGACGACTGGGTGCAGTGAAGTTGGGCTACATCTTGGAAGAGTAGATGCGCGCGGGTCAAGGTTGGGAGCGCGTAACGAGTGTTTCGAGGTAACGAAGCTTCTGCGTGAATTTTTCGGTAACGCTGGGACTGTTTGTCGAATTGCGCCGAGTCCTTGATGTGATTGCCGCCGGCCGAGGCATGCTGCTCTATTCAAGTGACAGAGGCATTGCGAGGCCAATTGCATTGCCCCGCGTGAAGAACCAGCAAAGCACAATTGCGTCGAGACGGGGCATTAAGCATAGCAGCTGGCACATTGAACGAAAGCTAAGGTTCGGTGGCGGGCTGCATCGCGAGGCTGAATTTGCAGGAGGGATCTAACAATGGCAAGCTTGGAGGAAATTCAGATCTGGGCCAAAAAGTTCCCCAAGCAATATCCATCCGTCAACCGAATTGAGCTCCGCGCCATTCGTCGGCCTGTGTCTGGAAAGCGGGTCCTGCTGAGTCAGTCGGGGGCCTTTCGGCCCACGCAAGGCATGAGCCCATCTTCCTGATTGCTCCGTCCGTCCTTCAAAGCCGACATACGAGAAAGCCTTCGAAGCTGTAAACCACCACCAATCCGAAGCCAATCGCAATTGAATCGATCAAAATGGGGTACGTGCCTTTTCAGCAGACGAGCGACCGACCGGCGGTCGACGGAAGGCTGTCGCCGTCAATCGCCGTCCATGTTGAAGTCGAGAACAATTATCATACGAGGGCATTTCTGACGTCCACACAGTATCGTCGACGCGAAGAACAAGGTCCCCGACCTCCAGAAGTTCTACCAGGCCGCCTACAAGGACCACACCCGTGTCTGGAAGATTGTATGTCGAATTGATCCTGGATCTGCGCAATTGGCGCCAGCGCCGACGGACGGACGCTGACTCAATAATCGCAGAACCCTCGCTCCCGCTGGTACATGATCCCCTACGTTACCCTTCTGTGGGGATCTCTTGGTGGTATGTTTGTTACTTGCTCGGAACCTCATTGGGACGAATACTCACATCCAGCAGCCTCCTTCTACGGCATGGGCCGCAAGGTCCTCGGCTACAACACCTACTTCGGCAAGGAATAGACGATGCTCGCGATGGATACCACCCCGTAGCGAGAGGCTCGGGACCGGACTGTATGATTCGTAGGGCGACCAATAGACCAAATGGACTTCGCTAGGCCATTCATCCTTAGTGACATGTTGACGATAACCGAGAAACGTAATGACGTCGATCGTGGGAGTTCTCTTTTTTGACTATGCCTGTCAAAATAATCAAATGGCCAACCTTTTCCCGCTCCATTCATTAGGCAGAAAAGGTCATCTAGAATACACATGCGCATCGGCACCGCAAGTAACGTCAAAATCTAGTGCTTGAGCGTCACCCAACCCTCTTGGACAGCTACAGCCGCTCCTCTCATTCATCTTTTGTTCGCAGCATCTAGTAGCCGCTGGCTCCAGGTGCCTTCTCATCCTTCTTCAGACTGATGAGGAGCTCGCGGAAGCGCTCCTTGCCGGAGCCGGAGGCGCCACCCTTAGAGCCCTTTCCGCTGACATCGACCAGCTTCGCGATTCTCTCCCAGCTCGTGCCGCCAGAGACAGTATCCTCACGGCTGGCGAGGAATTTCTCGGCATCCTTTTGCGTCTGGGCAATGCCCTTCTCCTTCTTGGCGTTGTAGTTGTTGTAGAAATCGTCAATGTTCTCTCTGGCTTCCTTAATCGTCTCCTCACGCTGCTGGGCGAATTGCTGTGCCCGCTTCTCGTTCTGCGCATCTCTCTTCTCGCGCCACTCACGGATGACCGCGGGCTCCTCTTCCTCCTCGACGAAGGCGTTGTAGCCAGAGTTGTAGTTTACGCTAGGAGCAGCGGTGATGCCAGCGCCGGGGATCTCGCCAGTGATGGCCTATGTATTTATCTGTTAGATGGTTCGTGGGGCGAAATTGTGGAATGACGAACCTCGTTCTGGGCAAGGTCTGGGAATTGCGACTCGAATGTCGACTCCTCGCTGATGACGTTTCCGCTACCTCCACCTCCAAGGAGATCATCGTCGCCCGCTCCAAAGGCGATAGCATCATCACCGGTAGCAAACTGATCGGCATCGTCGCCAAGAAGCGCCTTCTCGCGGGCAAGGAAATCGTCGGTAGATGGTTCGGCGCCGGTGTCCTTGATATCGGTTTGGGCTGAATGCGATCTGTCAGCCCGAGGAAGCACATTTGCGCTGAGACTACTTACCACCCGAATCGAAATCCTCTAGCGAAGGGAATCTGTCGGCCATTTTGATGTCTGGGTTGTGGGTTGTTGAAGAATAGGAAAGATGGACAGGTTGTCGACGTGGCTACTGGGGATCAGATGCCAAAGGACCGGTTGGGATGAAATTCCACCCAGAAATAAAGCTGTACAACCTGGTTGTCAGTGACGGAGTTTTCTTCCTGGAGACGCTTGAATGCAATCGCGGCTGTAGGCTTGCAGAAACAAGTTGAGGTGAAGTATGGAATGTAAGGTACCTTTGATACGTGATAGGGACAACGGGAGGCTACCTTGAATGGGATGTCTTGCGGTGCTTGCCGTGTGCAGTGTGTAGTAACAGGTATCCACTTTGAAGCTGTCCCCATCGGTTAGTAGAATGCGCCTCCTATGAAGTGTCACCCATGTGGTCCAAGCAGCCCCCTGTGGCTAGGAATCAAAGAGTGAGGAGAATCTATCGATATATGCATATACTGGATACTGCGAGATGAATCTCTACTTAATGCATTACTATAGAGAGCAGGAGCGACCACGTCTGAGCCATCAGCGTTGTTTTGATTCTGGTTGACCTCCGTTAACTGACTCCCATATCGCCATCTCTCTCGTCACCAGCAAAGTCCACCATTTCATCTCACTGACCAGAAGTGTCGTAATTCTGGGTCTCCAATCCATCTGTCATACTGTTTGGCCATCTGTGCAGGAGGGCTGCTAGATGCATTGATCTGGACGCTTTGCGGAAGCAGCTTTGGGAGGTCAGGTGTTTGCTACTGGGATTTCAGGCCTAGAGATTCCATTGACTGACTGATTGAATACCTTCCCATCCTTCTTTCCCTCACTCTGTCCCACCCACTCTTTCACTGCCTTGCTTCTTTCCGCTCTCTCGCCTACCTTGCCTACCTCACCACCTCGCTGGTCTAATATCGTTTGAAACTTTTTCAAGCACTACATTTCGGAGAGGTGTTTTTTTTTTCCCCAAACTTCGACAGAAGTTCTTTAAGTCATCTTCACATCAACCTTAGCGACCCAAAATTCAATTTTGGCTGGGGTTTGCTTTTTTTTATCAAAGGAAAGGGCAAGGAAACATATCCGTCCTCAGTTCGTGTTTACTTCAAGTAAAGCAATTGGGCACCTTCCCACTACCGACACCGTCGCAGAGACCACTTCCTACATATCTACAGCACCCATACTAAAATGGCGTACAACGACGATGCTGTGCTGGCAAAGCTATCGGCCCTCAATGAGAGCCATGACAGCATTGCGACTGCTGCGCAATGGATCATGTTCCATAAGTAAGCTAAGCCGATGAGTTCTGACACCCATATCTTTCTCACTTCAGTGCAAACTGACTTTGGCCTCTTCACAGGAGACATGCAGATCGCACAGTTGCCCTATGGATGCAGCGTCTTCGAGACTCATCAAGCACCAAGAGACTAAGCTTGGTCTATCTTGCAAATGGTAAGAGCCTACAAGCAGTGCAAAACCCCTGTCTTCCTGATGAGGACTCATGTATATATGAAAAGAATGATTCTTACACATTCACAGAGGTCACCCAGCAATCAAAGGCTCGGCACAAGGACGACTTCCTTGTGGCCTTTTCTCCTGTCATCGCTGAGGCGACAGCTTTAGCCTACAAGGGAGCGCCGGCTGAGATCCAGAACAAGCTCAGAAGGGTCATCGACGTCTGGAAAGACCGCTTCATTTTCGAGCCGCCGGTTCAACAGGCCATCGAACGTGGCATTGATGGTAAATATTTTCCCCACATACGACAGCAACATATACTGATGATGCTTCAGAACTCGACAAGGCTCGCGGAACCGCCAAGGCAAACTTCGCTAGTCCCGGAATTGGCGGTGGTGGTCCTTCCGTTCCCGCAGAGCTCACTCCGCTCGTCACCTCCTATACCAATGTATCGAAGCTTAACCTGCCTACTAAGACGGCTGTGAGCACCGCCAACCAGGATTTTGAAAAGGTTACCGACCCCTCGACACCTGTCCCATCGGCCCCCGTCTACGCGGCAAGACTTAATGGTCTCTTGAAGAGTTTGGCGAGTGCTGAGGGCGCTGTGGCAGAATGCGTTAAGGCCCGAAAGGGCCTCATTGGCGAGTTGGAGAAGATGCTCAGCGCAAGCCAGGAGGCACTCGCAAACGACGAGAGGCAGCATGCCGACCTGATGTCACGTAAGGCAGAGACGGAGGAGAAGAGACGTGAGATTGAGCAAGCCATTATGCGCGGACTGCCGACTCACGAGGCTTCGCAATCCCCTGGCAACGGAGCATCCAAGACCCCTGAGCCTGAGAGACCAGAAGTCGAGGCGCTTACACCTCCCCCCGTGGAGGCCTTCACGCCGCCGTCTGTAGAGGCGCTCACCCCTCCCCCTGTCCATGATGAGCCGCCTGTTCCTCACCATGCAGAAGAGGATCGCGCTCGCTCAGCATCGAGCCAGGGTTTCCAGCCTCCAGCAGCTTCGGGCATTGAGATGCTGTCAGCCCTTGCCTCGCAGTACCAATCTATCCCTGTCTCGGCAAACGGCGCGAAGAAGAGACGCCGAATCGACGGAGACGAGTTCCCTGACCTCGGAGGTGACGATGGAATCGATGCCGATGTAGCAGAAATGCTGCGTAAGGAAAGCAATGGCAGCGCGTGAATAACCAGTAGAATGCGCCACCCCGACTACTCGTTATGCCACAGATACGATATTAAGAGGTTTTGGGCAAACATGGGCATGTAGTATTATACTAGAGAGCACACAGCAGGCGTCATTAGTTCTCGCGACCAGCTACAAAGATTGGTCGAACACCCGAGGGCTCACTATGGGACAGAACCTGGGCAGTTGTGCTCTGAGTCCTAATTCGAAGCAGGCAACAACCTTTTAGGTACTGGCCATCCTTGGGAACATGGTTTGAGGTGGAAATCAGAAGAGTCGAGGCCAATCGCCAGCTCATGTTTTTATAGTATGTAAGAAACCAAGAAGCTAGGAATCACAACAAAACAGGACAAGCAATTAATTGAGCCGATTCGGTTTCTTGATGATGGTGAAGCAATACAAGGATTTGCACTTGGACCAGAGTTAAAAGCGAACTGCATCTAAGTTACTCTTTTGCCGCAAGTAGCTTATTTGCTTATTAGTGCTGTTCCCTTTGATCCTCGGCTGCTGCGGAGTGACGGCAGCATCCAGGTCGGCGAAAAGACATGCCCGGGCCGACTATCACCGAGGGACCCTGCTAAGGTCAGGTAAGTAGCGGGCAGCAGTGAGCCGTCCGCTGTCAGCATTCCTCCGGGTAAGGTACGGGCCATGTATCGAGCGCTGTAAATTTCGAGTGCAAACCGATGACGGAATCTCTCCGGTCCGTCCTTTCGTTAAACTACCTAGGTCGTGGCTGTATTCATGCGCAACCCGTCGTCGAGCTTCTTCGTATAATGGTGCACCCTCCCTCATCGCTTTCTGACTATGCGCCTCCCATGAGATAAATTCTTTTCCGATTCCATCATGGCTATGGGAGTAGTGCGATCCGCGGTGTTGCTCCCGCACCGCGCCGGGAGCTGCCCGACGACTTTGGCATCGCTGATGACAACCCTCCCCAGCCTGCGCAATACCTCGACGATACCGCCCGTACTACAACATCCTCTCCTGTCACAGATTAGAACCTTCAGCTCGAAGCCCGTTCAATCATTATCTGCGGCGCGCTCTGCTGCCATCCACCGACCTTCGCTACAACGACCCGTTCCCCTCTCCCAAAAGCCTCAACTGCCCGGTCCGATCGCGATCTTGCGCTATTTCTCGAACGGATTTTCCAAGCAACGAGACTCCCAGGCTACAACGCAAACTCCGGCTACGCGAGACGGTGACAAGGACGCGAACCAGACCGAACCCACGTCACGAGACCCGGAACAACCTGATGACTTCCAAAAGAGCGAGCGGGCTGCTAAGGCTGCTCAGGTCAACCTCAGTGCCAAGTTGTCAAAGGAGGGCAAGTCGCAAGGCGGCAAGGCCGGATTTTCCGAGATTTGGCGATTGATCAAGATTGCGCGGCCGGAGCTGCGGTGGCTGGGAATCGCCATGATCTTCCTCGTCATCTCGTCTGGAGTCACCATGTCCATCCCGTTTTCCGTCGGCAGAATCCTCGACATGGCTACCAAAGACCCTGCTGAGGACGCGCGCCTGTTTGGCCTGACCATGCCGCAATTTTTCACAGCCTTGGGTGTCATCTTGACCGTCGGAGCCATGGCCAACTTTGGACGCGTAATTCTCCTGCGTATCGTTGGCGAACGGGTCGTCGCCCGCCTGCGATCGTCCCTCTATCGGCGAACGTATGTACAGGATGCTGAGTTCTTCGATGCAAACCGAGTTGGAGACCTCATTTCGCGACTCAGTTCCGATACCGTCATTGTCGGCAAGTCAATCACCCAGAACATCAGCGATGGTCTGCGGGCTCTTTTCAGCGGAGGAGCCGGTTTCTGTGTCATGGTTTGGCTTAGTCCCAAGTTGACTGGACTTCTCCTAATCATGTTGCCGCCCGTCGCAGTCGGAGCCTTCTTCTACGGACGCGCAATCAGAAACGTGAGCAAGGGAATCCAGAAGAATCTCGGTACCTTGACGAAGATTGCCGAAGAACGCCTCGGCAACGTGAAGACGAGCCAGGCATTTGTTGGAGAGGTCCAAGAAGTTGGCCGTTACAACCGCCAGGTCAAGAAGATCTTTGCCTTGGGCAAGAAAGAATCTACAATTGCTGCCACTTTCTTCGCCTCGACGGGCTGGGCTGGTAACATGACCATCCTTGCCATGCTCATTGTTGGCGGTAACTTTGTCCGCGACGGCGCCATGACGCTAGGAGATCTGACATCTTTCATGATGTACACGGCTTTTGCAGGATCCAGTCTGTTTGGCCTTTCGTCTTTCTATTCAGAGCTGATGAAAGGAGTGGGTGCTGCCAGCCGCCTCTTCGAGCTGCAAGACCGAAAGCCCGGCATCTCACAGACAGTCGGGCTCAAGGTGAAGTCGGCACAGGGCCCTATTCGGTTCTCAAACGTTTCATTTGCCTACCCTACACGACCTGCTGTCAATATTTTCAACGATCTCAACTTTGAAATTCCTTCGGGCAGCAATGTCTGTGTTGTGGGGCCTTCCGGTGGTGGTAAATCAACCGTTGCCGGCCTGCTGTTGCGATTCTACAATCCTATCTCTGGCTCTATCACTATCAATGGCGTTGACATCTCCAAGATGAATGTCAAGTCACTGCGACGCCGCATCGGCATGGTTGCGCAGGAACCTGTCTTGTTCTCTGGCTCGATTGCCGACAACATCTCCTATGGCAAGCCTAACGCCACCCGAGCTGAAATCATCGCAGCTGCGCGGAAGGCGAATTGCAACTTTATCAGTGACCTTCCTTCTGGATTGGACACGCAGGTGGGAGCCAGAGGCTCACAACTGTCGGGAGGTCAGAAGCAGCGCATCGCCATCGCGCGAGCGTTGATCAAGGACCCCGATATTCTTATCCTCGACGAGGCTACTTCTGCCTTGGACGCCGAGTCTGAAACGCTTGTCAACGCCGCCCTTACCTCGCTTCTCAGAGGCCGAAACACGACCATTTCTATTGCTCACCGACTGTCAACTATCAAGCGGTCTGACCTGATCATTGTCCTTTCCAACAACGGCGGAGTTGCCGAAATTGGCAAGTACACAGAGCTTTCTGCCGACAAGGACAGCGCCTTTAGCAAGCTCATGGAGTGGCAGATGAGCGGCGGCGACGTTCCCGATCCTCGCTCTAGCGATAGGGCTCATATTACAGAAGAGGAAGAAATCGAATCTGACCTAGAGCGGGAGGAGGGTGAAGAGGAGGTTGAGGAGCAGCTGCAGGAGGAGACGAGGGAGAAGGAGGCACGGCGGTGAAGAATGCATATCCCACTTGATCTCTGGACAAGAGTAGGATTGCTTTGAAGGGGGTAAATGTGTGATTTTCTTGTGTTTTATATCAAAAAGGCTGCTCAAATATGAAGCAGCGGTTCGACAGCAACGGCGAATCACTTCCTACTATGGCGCAGCTCACACCGTGCTGCCGTCTTGTGTACTACAAACTATTCATCGGTTACACAGCATCATAGAATAACTCCGCTCGATCTTGATGGAGTGCTCAAATTCAATACTTTGAATACGTTTGATCGCTAGGAGTCAGAATATGAATATGATGTGTGAGGTACTCTTGGGGTTGCCAGCATCATGGTATGAGATTCTCTAGTCGTCTACCTATCTTGGAGTAGCACGGCTCCTGACACCTTGCCGGCTAGAAAAGTCTAGTTCAAAAATCTTCATTGTTCAACCTGACGCCGTTCCAAACGGCAGGTCGGCGTTCGAGTACCTGTGTCGCTGAGCCAAAAACGGACGGTGACTGGAAGGTTTCATTGGAGAAGTTGGAGTTTACAGTGAGCTCCGAGCTCCCCATGTCTGCAAGCGGAGCTCAGCTCTTTGAGTGCCATGGCCCATGGCCACAGCGCCACCACCACTACTCACCTTGGATGTCTTGAATCCGAACCCCAACAATAACACGTGAATTTCATCTCACCTCATCACTTCTCATAACCCGTGGTTCATCGTGAGAATTCCGCTATATGTTTATATTTACAATCATATAGTTGTGCGTGTAAACTGTCAACCAATCTCACAGCATCATCGTCGTCGTTATGGCCACGCAGACAGAGGGCACCTTTGAGGTGGACGGCCACAAGCTTCACAGCACAACCTGGACGGTAAGTGCAGACTCTACACTTACTCCCTTGGGCTATCCCATGACGAACAAACACCCGGGCATGGCTGACGCTGCACCATCAGCCCGAGGGCCCCATCAAGGCCAAGCTCGTCTTCGTACACGGCTTCAGCGACCACGTGGGACGGTACGACGAGCTCTTCCCCAACCTCGCCGGCCGCGGCATCCAGGTCTTTAGCTGGGACCAGCGCGGATGGGGCCGCAGCGCCGCGACCAAGTCCGATCGGGGCCTCACGGGCCCGACGTCGCGCGTCCTCGCCGACGTGGCCGCCTTTATCAAATCCAAGATCCCGTCGCCCCCTACGGACGCGCCGCTCTTTGTCATGGGCCACTCCATGGGCGGCGGTCAGGTCCTCGCGTTAGCTAGCGACCCGCAGTACCACGATCTCGTCGGCCAGGTGCGCGGCTGGCTCCTCGAGAGCCCCTTTATCGCCTTCACGCCTGGCGAGGAGCCGAGCTTCCTCAAGGTCTTCTTCGGCAAGCTCGCGAGCAAGGTTCTGCCCAAGCAGCAGCTCGTCAACGAGATCCCCGCCGAGCACCTCACGCGCGATAAAGCGGCGCAGAAGAGCATCCGCGACGACGACCTCATGCACAACACGGGCACGCTTGAGGGGCTGGCGGGCATGCTGGAGCGGACGGACCAGCTGGCGCAGAACAAGCTGACGCTGAGCGGCAACGTCAAGAGTCTCTGGCTGGGCCACGGCACCGAGGACAAGACGACGTGCTTCAACGCCAGCAAGAAGTGGTTCGGCGCGCAGACGACGATCGAGGACGGGCACCACAAGCCGTACGAGGGGGCGTATCACCAGCTGCACGCGGACCTGTGTAAGGACGAGTTCTTCAAAGATGTTGGGGATTGGATCCTCGAGAGGGCTGGAGAGCCTGCGGCGGCGAAGCCTGAGTCCAAGTTGTAGGAGACTGGACGGGCCCGCGGGATCTCTGCCTCTGCCTCTCATCCATGGAACCGGTATTTGCGTCTTGACATGTGGATTGTGTCATATGGCTGTGCTTGGAAAGGTGCAGGTTATACCTGTCCCTACGCCAGTCTCCATGCAATACCAGAGCCGAGAGGATACCGTTGGCATGGACGTTGCCGTTATTTCACAGGATCAATGTATGAGTTCCTTTTAGCAGAATAGTAATATGATCCAAGTTATTTGTCTTTTCTACTCTCACTTAGCAAGATCTCCCTGCCATGGACCGAATACATCTCAAATGATCCTTTTGATGGTCTCCTTCACAAGCCTATTGAGGTAAGGTGTACTCGTGTAAAGCGATGCCAAGGTTGCCGAGCGGGTGGGATGTGACCCGGTTCCGGTTGTGCCCGAAGCACATGAGAAACGGGGGACCCGAATCCAATGACGCCCCAGTTCCGTCAGGTCGAGGTCCCCGGGGGAGCCCTCCAGGTAACGGCTTGTTTCGAAACATAAAGTTGACCCGCATCCCCGGGATTTTCAACTTCATCTCATTCATTTCTGTACCCTACTCAGCTACGGATCGTGGATGGGGTTGTTTGGGCTACTGCTTCTGGAGTGTGTGCGACAATGCAGCAGTTCTCCACCTCTCTACTGTGTGCTGACCATCAAAGGCCGCTCTCGCTTTCTATCCCTATCGATTGGAAGAACCACGGAGCAAATTGCTTCGACCATCTGCTTTCAAATCTCTTCATTTGTCTCACAAGTCGGCTCGAAAGTCTCAGAAAGGGAACGAGTATGGTCGATGAAGTCATCGAGATCGCCAGCCAACGTACAGAATTCAAGCATTAGCTTGAACTGTCTGTTATGGCTTCCAGCACAGAGATTGTGCCGACCCCATTTCACAGCGCTCAAACACTGAGCTATCTCGCTGGGCGTTGCATACTCTATCTTCCATGCTTTCCCTTCGACATTGGTCACTAACAACCTCAAGATGAAGACCAGACAGTTCTCCATACGTCCTGAGGGCAAGTCCACCGACTTTCTCTATTGTTATGCAACATCATCTTACCATTTCGTGGCTACAATATGCTAATGCAACTAAGTCTAGACCTGTCCATCATCTCAGTCGCGTCGCTCGAGACGATAGTCTACCTCTTCTTCCTCCTCCTCCCCGTGGGCAAATGATTGGCCCACAATCATTTTTACCTCATGAACATGTTCTCTCTTTCCATGTCTAACCTCCACCTCCCCGGCACTTTTGGCGAGCTAATCAACGACACGGCAGAATAAGCAAGAGACGCCAGCGCCAGCGGGGAAGAAGCGCGCCTCACACGGCAGCAGCTCGACGACAACGCATCCCGTTGCACCCGCTATCCCCGCACATCCTGCAGCGATCCTGCCCCCAGGAGCTTGCAATTCTCCGTACCAAACATGATGTCTGTCCCATAAGCCCGCTTTCAGAGGGGTGAGAAGGTGTGGGCTTTGTTTGTCGGGTAACGACACAGGTTTCGAAGCTCTTTGAAATACCATAGGCGACATGGCCCAGACACCGAACCTCCATTCTGCATCATCCTCCATACGTCTCCTTCGCCACCCTTCTTCTTATCTCACAGCCCGTCAGCCTGGCTTATATCGATACACTGGAAAAAAGGGATTTGGGAAACGTCGTATCAACACCTTGTATCCTTTACTGCGCATAAGTTACGGTTCATAAATCTGACGCCCGCCGCCACCATGGAGCCCGATCTATCCATGAGCATCACCATGCATCCGCACCCCTTCCGGCTGCACACGCCATCCCATCTAGCAAACACCTCCCGCAGAGGCTCGATGCAACTTTCCAGCGAGGATGCCGCAGTTAACGCCTCTAGTACGGCCATAGAGGCCGCGCCTCATCATCCCGCCTCGCACGATGAGAAACACGAACCCATCGCCCGACACTCTTCTGCCGCTACCGATGTCGAAGGCCAGCCCCATTTGCGATCCGATTCGGATCCTTACGGTCTCTCCGCGGCCTTCAAGACGCCGGAGGACCTCGCCCAGATCAGAGCCAACACCTCGCGCAAACGGGACAGTCAACCCGCCTCCGACAAAGCCAGCGGTAGAACTTCGCCAAACGGCTCCTGGCGTCAGGGCCACAAGGTCCAGAAGTTCTACGAAACGCAGAACGCTGCCATCGAGCGCATGCTCAAGTCCGTCGACGAGCATGTTGCAGAGGCCCGCCAGGAAGCCGGCGACGACCAGCTGCAGTTCCGGATTGCCGTTTGGGGCTCCTTCGCCGCAAACATCCTCCTCACAGCTCTACAGCTGTACGCAGCCATCAGCACCGGCTCCCTGTCGCTCATCACCACAATGGCCGACGCCATCTTTGACCCCATGAGCAATCTGACCCTTATCCTGGCCGGCCGTGCGATCAAAAGGGTGAACCCGCGCCGCTTCCCCGCTGGCAAGGCCCGCCTTGAGACTGTCGGAAACATCGTCTTTTGCTTCCTCATGATCTCAGTCTCGCTCATCATCATCGCCTTTGCTGCGCGCGAGCTGGCTACCGAGAGAGAGTCGGCCAACGAGACAAAGGCTTTCCGCATTGAGCCAATTGTTGCCGTGTGTTGCGCCTTCGCGACCAAGTTTGTACTCTTCTTGTACTGCTTTTCCCTGCGAAACCGGTATTCTCAGGTTCGTATCCTCTGGTCCGACCACCGCAACGACTTGCTGGTGAACGGCTTCGGTATCCTCACATCTGTTGGCGGTTCAAAACTTAAGTGGTATATCGACCCAACTGGCGCCATAATATTGTCACTGATTGTATCCGGCATCTGGTTGCGAACCGCCATCGCCGAGTTTTTGCTACTCGTCGGTGTGACCGCCTCGATCGAGACCCAGCAGCTCATCACCTACGTCTGCTTGACGCACTCCCCTGCCATTCAGGGCATCGACACGGTGCGTGTCTATCACTCGGGCCCACGGCTCATCGCCGAAGTGGACATAGTCATGGACCCCGCCAACACGCTGGCCCAGACGCACGATGTGGCAGAGGCGCTGCAAGTCAAGTTGGAGAGTCTACCGGATGTGGAGCGGGCCTACGTACATATCGACTACGAGACTACACACAAGCCGGAGCATGCGTTCAAGAAGGACCTGTAAAGATGTGTAATAGTATACGCCAAAAAGTTGATAGCGAAGCTCTCACAAGAAACATTGAAGAGCATTATTATGACAGTTACACCGCAACAGAGCGCCGATGGTTCCCAATGTTCCTTCTGGGGCCGACTCAAGTGACAAGCGCTTTTCATAAACATATAACAACACCATTTCGGCTCATTAGGTTTTTGACACCAGTATGATGCGAGGGCCAGCCTCTGCGGATATACTGTGTATGGTTTATATGAACATCCGCTCCCCAGTAGTGGTATGGCAAAAGGCACAGACTCTGCTCTTGCCCACAACATCTGTATCCACTTAACGTTAGCATCCTCAGGTTGTCCTGGGCAAATGGGGGATACGCACTTTGCCACAGGGCTGTCTCGATGTCCCAAAATACTTGCTGGTGATCTCTCTGCTCGATGAGCTGCATACGGCTTATCACGCTTGCGACATTCCGGCCACTACTAAGAGACTTGAGCCACTGATCACAACAACAGCCCGGCCGAAATGTGACCAAGCGTAGCTGAAGCAGTGTCGATGAACGCAGATATTGGATAAAGGGGTCCATTCGGTGGCTCTGCGTCGCCCGTAGCCTCAGCCCGACAACAAAGTCATTGCGGCCATAGAGTATCGGGGTGGCTTCTTGTTCGATCTGCTTGCATGTCTGTAGGATCTCGACGTGAGGTTTCCTATGGGTAAGCGATACGACGCGAGGTCTCGGGCGGGGAGCCCGTAGGTAGGCGACTTGGTGCTCCGGTGGCTCAACTTTGACGTGGAGCTGGCGGCGGTTGCTCGACACGATAATGGGCTCCGGGTTGAGGAGTAGGAGCTCGTAGATGTCTAGGCGGAGCTCGTAAGGGAGACTGAAAAAGTCTGGGCGGCGCGGGCTAGGCTCCGCAGTGATTGGCCGTAATGGCTATAAGAAGTGAGTGTGTTTGAACATTATAATTGAGATTGGTTCCAGCAAGGACCGCTTCCACGAGAGAACGGACAGGGCTATGAACATGCAAAATGCTGTGAGGCCCCAATGTGGTAGGTAGGTAAATAGGTAACAGGCTCTGAGTCTGGAAGACGACCAGTCCAGTGACTGCAGGACTGAAAGTGCCGTGCCGGGTAGACCCTTGATGCAGATCATCAGCTTGAGCTGCGAGAGCTGTTGGATCCCCGCACCGAGATGCGGAGGTGGTCCACAGGGTCCTTCTTGCTTTGCCCACCTCACTGCATCCCTCAGCTCATGTGACGTTTGTGTAAAGTGTTGGGGTGAGTGAGTAGGCAAAGGTAGTGCCATGCTACTACACAGTGTAATAGAAGATGAATATCACCAGATGGTCCACACTCGTGTCCAACGTCTTCTGGCATCCCACCCCAACGATGGTGGAATGCAGATACGGAACTCGGTGATGGACAAAAGATCAGATGCAGACTCACAATGACGGCTTGTGTCTGTAGTTCTGGCTCTGACATTGACCAACCAGGACTGGGCGGGTAGATGATCTCGTCTATAGCGTATTGGTGGTGGTCATGAGCACCGGGACCTTCCATTGCGGATGACGAGTGTGATGCAGCAGTCTGTCTGCAGCATACCTAGAACTGACGGGATATTAGGCGAGCTGGGGAGGCACGTCAGGCATGCAGTGGTATGCAGTAGTAAGGCGGGGCAAAGAGTGAGAGGAAAAGGTGCCGGTGGACGGATGAGGTGAGAGAGGACCCGACGAGAGGTGATGGAGAGTTTGTGTAGATTAATCCGGCGCATGGCTCGGTTCGCGTTTCCAAGGGTCCTTTGTCTTTTTTCCTGATGGGAAGCATCTTTCTCCGATCGAGGAAGCCCCCATGTCCCGGATTGCTAGATGGGACAGCACGATAGGTCCAGTAGCCGTGGGCGAGACATGCGGGAGGGGAGGTGCAAGGAGCTTCCCGAGTTCACCTCACGTCATTTCCTTCTCCTGATAATCCTTTTTTCCCAACCTCGCAACTTCCCAATGGCAGGCAATGCGAGTCTGGGTCTCGGGGGGTAAGGAAGGCAGCCGGTAGATGCGGGGAAGCTGCGTTTATGTCATGAAACCATCCGCCCTCCATTCAACTACCTTAGACCACTACCTATAAGATGGAGGAACTACCTACTGTACGGACATGGTCCGCAGACTTTCCCAGCTTCAGGCTGACAGCTTCATTAGCTTGGAGGGTGGGGAAGGAGGGGTTGGTGACCTCTGCCCACGGGCAGTTTTCCGCCTCCGAATACCTACACTATCTGAGCGTGCTGGGTAAGGAACCTAACCCAGGTTGGATCGCCGTCATGTGGTGGTCAAAGTGCAATGCCCATTATCGGAGCAAGAAAAGGATTGAGTGATGAACCAGGATGACTGTGGCGGCTAGCAATGGTTATGCACGTAAGAACCTAGATCATCTCACGAGGGGTTCCATGGTAAGGATGTCCGAGGAAATACATCAGACGGTTTGATACTTGGCCTCTGTAAGCATGAAGATGGAATTGCTCGACTGAAATGCTCATTGAATGCCCAGCAATGGAGGGAAATTGCTGTTGAGACGAGCAAGAAGTTGAGAGGCATATCCCTTGAGAAACAGCAAGAAGCTCCGAGACGTTCAGGAAATGCGTCACGAAAGCTGAAGAGAAATATCGAGTGATTGGGGGGCTTAAAGGCACCAGAAATGGACAGGGAGGTCCAAAGTCTGAGAGAAGAAAGGGGTCTGCGTGCCAGCCTTGCCAATCTTTTTCTTCTAGAGTACTCTGCCTACATTTCAATTTCAAAAAGTTTCACTCTCTAGTTATTTTCAACAGCTCTCAGTTCTCCTACCTACTCTGATATTCTTCTACTTTGCCTCATTGTTACCCTCAAGCAAGCTTTTTCATCATAGGAGCTGGACTGTTTTTCTTCCTTGAGAAACCTTGTGCCGGGCTAGCAGAAGCTGCAGCAATGTCTCGTGCCTCCAGTTCCACTACCGTGCTGCAAGTTGTGGGACCTAAGGGCGAGTGACATATTTATATGGGACGTTCCTGACGAACCCAAGACAAGGTTGAAGGAACGAGTATCGAGCCTCGGCAAGAATGGCCTGAAATATCTGAGTCGCGTATGGCCGTTGAGCCTTCATTTCTACCTCTGGAATTCTCATATAGTAGGGGAATGGATTGAGGAACACGAACACTATACGTTTGGTTCGAGGCCCTCAACGAAGCTGAGCATCAAAGGGATATTCGTACATTGAAGTAAATGAATATGGGAATACAGGAAAGAAGACCTTTGTGAAGAGGAAAATTTCACGCCAGCGACAAGTGAGAGGTATGACCAGACCGGGGCACAGTCCGAAAAGGTGCACAAGCTCTGACCTTCCTTGGCAGCCGTTCGAGTCCATTGCTTTTCAGCGCGCGAACCTTCAAGGTGGGTTGCTCCCAAACGCGCCGGGACTAAAGGTACCTTAGCATGCAAAGACCCGCTGGAACGGCGCAATTCAAGTGCCCAAGTACCTCAGAAGCTTGCGCATCAGGTATCTTCACAGACGTCAGATGCTCCTTACCTCAGGTACGTAGATACTTTGAGTAGGTATCTTAGGTACCTCGTCGAAGCTCCTGCTTTCGCTTCCTTCTTTTCTTTACGTCCATCCTTCCATCTGCCAAAAAGAATACACGCATGCCTACCTTGGACTATTTTGCTTCGAATAGCTTATCTGGAACAAAAAGGTTCTTTCTTCCTTTAGCCCTCATCCATCTACAGCTAGAATGGCAGTTACATTATAACATCCCAGCTGTATTTGCTCAGTTGCAATTTCCGTAGCTGCAACGGCCTTGCTTGTGCAGCTTCCCAACGACCCACGCCGCCCTTTCTGTCCTATCCAAGGCCGCGAACCTCTACCTGGGTCCCCAGTCTCGCATCATCGACCTCGCTACGGAGTACGATACCAATAGCTCTGCTCTCTTTCCACTCAGGTAGAGGTAGAGATACCTGAAGCGTTGAACCAAAGCTGCTGCTAGCCCGTCTTTGTTTTTTACCGGTACGTCCCCATCAGGATGTGCGACTCTAGCTTTGCTGCACAATGACCCGAAGCTCTTGGTCTTCGTACAGGACGGAAAATGACAGGCATCGCGACTAACAACGATTTCCCGCTAATGACATGATTACGAGCCACAGACCAACCGCTTGGCTGTCTAGACCCTCTACGTCCCATTTTGCGCATGCCTCTTCGCGACAGGCGTTGACTTTGATTCACTCTCCTCACTCTGATAAACCAGTGCCGGTGACGTCCCTTTCCGGGTTTGCTCTCCTTCCTCCCGTTTTCCCACCTTTCGTCTACCTCTTCTCTCCCGCAACGTCGTCTCCCAGGTAGGTCCGGACACATGGCGGAATACGAAAGAGAACCACATCATATTGTCAGGCTCCTCCGCGGATACTTACTTACTTCTCGCATAGCCAAGGTACCCTGGCCGACATCTGCAGCGAACCCACTTCAGAGCTGCCCTCCACCTCCACGCCTCCCTCTCTCTCCGCACCAGCTCGCACCTGGACTGAACCTGGACCGGGCCTCGACTTGAACGTGGACGCACGGCTCCTCATCCCCGCCACGCCCATCCGCTGCCGTCACTTCGCAAACAACTTTTGTCGTGCCACTCAACACTTCCAACCTCCTACGAGAACACCTGTAATATACTGTTCATGGCCACTCGCTGAAAAAAACAGATCCTCTGTCGTTGTATCGTTGATCCTGCTCTTTAGTTCTGTGTCTCTCAACGCCATACACACACAATGGCGCCGCTTCGTGGAGGAGAACAGGTCTATGCGACGGTTCGTATTCCCAACCGCCATCGCAAAGCTCAGAGAGCACAGAAAAAAAAAAGTAAACAAAGAGCTGACAGCCACTTTCGTATAGCTTCTGTTGAACGACACATACCTTCCAGGTTAGTTTCTGGACCTCGATCTACTTTTCAAAGCTTTGCTGACCATTTCGTAACCAGGCGCATTGGTTCTTGCTCATTCTCTCCGCGATGCCGGCACTTCGAAACAGCTGGTCGTGCTCGTCACGCTCGATACCGTATCTGCCGAGGTTATCACAGAACTCAAGGTGAGCTCGCGACAACTTTGGGGCCAATTGATCTCTCCATACAACGTACTGATGCCTCCCCGTTGCAGGCTGTCTACGATCATGTCATACCCGTGCCGCGCATTCGCAATGCTCGACCAGCGAACTTGTACCTCATGAACCGGCCTGATCTCCATTCGGCCTTCACCAAAGTCAACCTCTGGCGCCAGACTCAATTTTCCAAAATTGTCTACATCGATGCCGATGTCGTCGCCTACCGAGCTCCTGACGAACTGTTCGACATTGCCGCGCCCTTCTCTGCCGCACCCGATATCGGATGGCCGGATCTTTTCAACACTGGTGTAATGGTTTTGAGCCCCAACATGGGAGACTACTATGCTCTCATGGCGATGGCGGAGAGGGGCATTTCTTTCGATGGTGCCGACCAAGGTCTCCTCAATATGCACTTCAAGAATACGTACAACCGCATCAGCTTCACCTACAATGTCACACCCTCGGCGCATTACCAGTACGTGCCTGCGTACCGACACTTCCAGTCCAGCATCAACATGGTGCATTTTATTGGCCCCGATAAGCCGTGGTTCCAAGGTCGACAAGCGAGCAAAGGAGATTCGCCATTCGAAGACATGATTGGAAGGTGGTGGGCCGTTTACGACCGGCATTACAGAGTTGCCGTGTGTCTCCCAACGTGGTTTTCTTTCTTGCAGAACAAGAGCTTACGTATCCACAGGAAACAGCACCTGCTCCGCCACAAGAGCAGCAGCCACAGGTTCAGGAGGAGCATCCTCCTGTTCAGCAGCAGCAGACACATCAAGAACAGCAGGTTCCTGAGATTGTACAGTATTTTACTAAAGGAGAATTCCAGCCGCAAGCTACGCAAGCAGCATCAACGGGTGAGCATTTTCACGCGGCGGAAACGCCCCGTAGCCACGGTGGCACACACTACCAGACGGCGCCCCCTTCCTCGGGTCATCCGGCTCATGGCCCTTCCCACCATGATGCTCACGATGCTGGCTCTTCCCAGCCATGTGTTCATCACGAACAGCCCCATCATGGTCAAGGATCCCAGCCTGAGATCGCGTATCAGGCTGGCCATTCGTTACCCCCTTCGAGCGATTCATTTGGTGCTTTTGCTGGAACGCAAGCTGAGGCTCGATCAGAGCAGATTTCAGCACATGAGGGGCGGGGTGAATCAGTACCAGTGGAGCAACCAAGAGAGCCAACTCCTCCGCCAGCATGGGACGCTCAGAGGTTCGTCAATGATATGGCTTACTAGCTCTTTCTTCTGATACTAACTTGATACCAGACAACCCCCACCGGCAGATTCAAGACCAGAGGCACTCAACTTCCCTTCACAGACGTATGAGATGTCTCAGGACCCCGCTCCATTTGTGCCCCCCCAACGATACCCGAGTCCCCCAAGAAACATGTGGTATGAGGTTCCGAAGGACAAGCCAACGCAGAAGCCTCGTCACCTCTTCCCGTGGGAGATCAACCAACCCAAGCCGACCAGAGTCTTCACTGCGGATTTGGCCGAGCCGGAAGCCGAAGAATCTTCGAGCACGCCGACTGGTGAGCACGCGGCGTCTTTCACGGCGTCTTCCACATCCCAGGCTCCCGCTGAGCCGTCTCTTTTAGGATCATCGACGACTGGTCAAAAGAGCGAGCCCAGCACCCCAGCCACTCCAACTATCAAAGTCAGCCCGTCGGACCCTTGGACCGCTTTTACACGTACGAATGCTTGGGATGAAGTACCCGAAATCGAGCGTTACGTCGAGGGTCTCCAGAAGCATCGTCGTGGGAAGAGCCAGGGCTCGGTGGGAATCTCTGATGGAAAGACAGCAAAGGAGCATGGGCTCAAGCTCACAGACTTCCCTAGCGTAGTCGACAGACCTAGTCTTCCAGTCACTCCTGCACCTATCCGTCGGCCAAAGTTCTGGGGCGGTGGCCCCAAACCTGGCGACGGAGAGGATGATGAGGAGCTGCCGGTCGCCCAGGGCGTGCCGCCGCAGACTGACTGGGTATGTGTGCATGGAATTCGGTGGACTCCCGCAGACTGTCTTTGCGAATATACTAACCTGCCCTTGCGCCCCAAGGACCCTTCTGCACAGCTTCAGGAATTGGCTAAGCAGCAGTCAGAGGCTTTGTTGAAGAAGCTCGGTGGTGGTGAAGGTGGACCCGAGGGTGTGAGTCGAGAGATCCCGAAACGTTCCTTGCCGTTCGGCTCGGAGAGAGTGTTTCCACCTACTTATGTTGCGCAGTCGTCTAAAGGAGTAGTACTCAGTCCGCAGCCGGTGAAAGGCAGCGCGACTACGAGTGTTTTGCGCAATCTGGGTGGTGAGCAGGCACAGATCCAAGAGCCGGCGTATCAAGGTCCGGGTACCGCCTGGGAGAGAGGAGAGGGTGCTCCCTTGTGGGAGACGCCTGCACTTCCTACAGAGGAACAGCGCGATGTGCTTGACACATAATGGGTAATGAAGCATGGGACTCCTGTCTAATAATTACATCATACAGCAGCAGTATTTTAGGCTTACGAAGGATGGATCTGGTGGCATATGGCATGGAAAGGGGGAGCTTCATTGTATTATATTGGTGGCGATGTTTCCGAGGTGCCGTCCATTTCATTTGCGGGGCGTGAAGGTCATAATGTCGGGACGAAGAATGGCGAGTCGGATTCGATGAATTGGTATATATACATATCTTGTCAATAACCCTGCTTGCGTAGGCAATATGTTTTATCATCTCGCCAGTTCAAGGATTGCGTCTAGACGTGTTTCTTCCCCTATGTCAAACATTTCGGTTTTCGAGGGAAAAGCTTCGGGAAAAGCTTCGGGAAAAGCTTCGGGAAAAGCTATCAAATTCCAAACATCAATCATGCAGTTGTCTCATGTCGATTCATAGTCATCAGGTGTACGAACTACGTTGGACAAATGATCAGTTTATCATCAAGTTGTTTGAAGCCAGCACACAGGTGACATACTCAGTCATGATGCCTAATACGATGGACAGCAAACGATTACTCGAAGAGCGCTTATCTCGCGTACTTAATATTCGCTAGTAATCCTACAGAAAATTGGTATGATTTTTACACCTCAACCAAAAGAATACCGCCCCAAACGCCACGTAATGCCTGCTCCTTGGCCGTATTTATTCGTCGTCGTCAACGGCTTCCTCGACCGTGACAGCCTTGGCCTTGCCCTTGCTACTACTACCGCCTTCCCCCTCGGCACTTCCCTCGGCCACCGCGGGGGCCGTGGCGGACGTCTTCTCTGGCGAGCTTCTAGGCGCGTCCTCATCGTATCTCGGGGGCTCATCGATAGACGTCTCCGATGGGGCGTTGTTGCCCAATCCCGCCATACCACGTCCGTTGCCGAACAGCTGGTTCGCTCCGCCCCAATTAGGTAGCACCGGGTTCGGGGCAAGGACCGGCGGCGGGTCGGTCTGATTCGTGGAGACATCATGACCAGAGCCAACGGGCTCCTGTCTTTGCTCGTGGGTGGTAGAGCGCGTTGAGAAATCATTCGCAGCAGCGTGAGTTGAGTCGGCATCCTGGGTCGCGCCAACGATTGGAGCTTGCGGGACAGGCGCCTCTGAAGGCTGGGCTGTCTCGCCCGACGCCGACAAGGGCCTCTCGGGGAAGGGCTGAGACCCGGGGGCGCCTTCTATCCGCTGAAGAGGAAGAAGTGACCATCCAGGTGGGATCACTACGCCTTCTGGGAGCTCAGAACTGCCGGCCGGAATTGCGTTGGAGTGGTTTGCGGCTCCATGCCGTGTCACCACTGGGCCGTTCACACGCAGGGTATGATGGATGGGCACTTGCGATAACGACATTGCCGGAAGTGGCATCTGCTGTGGCTGGCCCAGGTTGAACACCGGCGGGGTCGGTCCAGGATTCTGGGGTACGTTTTGGGCCTGTTCTGTAAGCTGCTGCAGCTGGCGAATACGGCTCAGCTCTGCTGTAAGAAGATGTAGTGTCTGCAGTTCCTGGTGCATGCTCTGAAGAGTTGACCATTCACGCTGTATCATCTGCTCGAGCTGTTGAATCTGCTGCCGGATAGCTGGCATGTTGTTCCCACCTGGCGTTTGTGCAGCGGGCGTAAAAGGGCCAGCAGGACCCCCCTGAGCGAAGGGTGTAGGGATGGCCTCCTGGGGAACGCCCATTTGCTGTGCCAACTGCTGCATGTTCTCGCCCTGGGCGAAACCGAGGCGGAGAGGGCCAAGCTGGAAGACTCGCGCTGCGCCGTTTCGGGGCGGTTGCTGAGCTGGTTGGCCGCCGGGAGCGGCGCCTGGTGCATGGTTCGCAGGCGGTTGCTGACCAGGTGGGACGGCAGGCGCAGCTCCGAGACCGCCGAGACCAATTCTAGCGAACATCGCGTCCCGATTCTGCGGTGCGGCGCCGTTATTGTTGTTGTTCGTAATGACAACAGGGCTTCGGCAGGTAGGACAGACTTGTTGACGCTCAAGCCAACTCTTGAGGCATCCAAAGTGTAGAATATGTCCACACGGAAGCTTCTTGGGTCGCACACGTTCGACGGCCCCGTTGCTTGGGTCCCAGGGACGCATCTCCTCTCGGCAGATGATACACGTATCCTCCCGTCCCAAATCTTCCTCGGTAGCGTCAGGATACTTGTTCATGTCTTCGACAGCCTTGCGGTAGCGCCAGAGCGCTGAACCCCTCTTGATGACAGATCTGGCTGTCATGAAAAGGTCACGCATGATGTGGATCGGCAAGCCGTAGAATGTGAGCAAGATACCGAAGAACACTAGGTAGATGGCCAGTTTCACACAATCTGGATACGGTCAGAGCATGGCCACGGCCGCAGAGATTCGGTGTAACTTACCAGCGAAAAGGTCCAGGATCAGGATCCACTGACCCTTCGCCTCCCATCCAGGAACCTCAATGTCCATTTCATCAATGTCCTCCTCGCGAGGCAGCTCGGGCTGATCCTCACCCGCACCGTCTTGTTCGCGCTGTCGGATGAGCTCCTCGCGCTCCTCGCGAACTTGTCTTCGTCGCTCCTCCAGGCGCAATCTCGTTTGCGTCTTGACAATGTTCTGCTCCATCACTGACACCAAATACCGAATTCCGGTTCGTGCTGAGCATGTTGCCAGAACAGCGAATTCGAAGAGGAACATGACCATCATGTTAGGACGTGCTTGTTGGATGACTGTAGAGACAGTGTATCGAAGGAGCCAAGTGTCGTATACCAAGCTTAAGAGAAGTGACAAGCTGAGCCTAATGTGGAAGAGACCCGGGTTCGCAGGAGGCTGTTGCTCGAGAACCTCAACGCGGCCATCTCCAATCCAGCCCCAGACCTTGCCTGTCACCAGTGCGGTGAACATGACGAGGAACCACGCGCCAATCTCCTCCCGGAATATCGTCATCGCGAGGCATGTTTCGGTAATAGCGAACCAGGCTTTTTCGGAAAGTTGCTCGACTTCAACTTGTCGCAGCGGGCCATACAAGAGTCGTTGCAGGCCGTATATCAGGGTACCGTAGATGAGGTAAATGAAGTTGACCAGGACCTGAGGGCACTAATTAGCTTCGGTTGCGGCGGGATCACGAGGAAGGCCAGATAACGCACCAATAAGCAGAAGTTGCTCTGCGCGAGGTAGACCATGGCCGAGTAAAAGTTGGCTCGTTGGTGGAAGGCTGATACGACGACCGAGGCCGCCAGGGCCGTGGAAACCTATGTCTCTGGGTCAGCAAGTTACAGCTCCGAGATGGCCAGGCGTGTCTGGCGGAGACGGAGCTATGCCAACGGAGCTTGTTCGATAGCTCCAACAGCATCACTTACCCCTGCGTACCACGCGAGCCTCATCTTGACTTTTGATGGGCTGTTAGCACGGGAATTGGTGATGTGGAGTGAGGGAAGCCCTCAGGTGCCCATGTTGTTGATGCAGGCCAAAGAAAGTCCGGATGCGCGGTGTTGGCGTGGTAGTACGTCTCTTTCGGAGGCCGTAGTTGATGCCACGTTAATGACAAGCATCCACTTGCTGCGGTGGATTACCTGAGCAGAGCAGTGACGCCACAGTATCCAACTACCTCAACGCAGTAGCGCGGGAAGGTTGGAGGTGGAGCACGTGATGGTTCGTTACACAAGGCACTCGAATCGGGGTTACATTAAGCCGACTCCGGGCACGGTTCGAACGACAGGCCGGCCCCGCCGTTCCTTATCTGGCTCACTGAGCCCCCGATAAGGATGACAGTGGTCGTCTTCCGCGATGAGTTGGACGACGCTCTTCTCATGTCCGCTTGAGAACGGATAGTTCTTGCCAAAGGAGACGCCGGAGTCGTTTCCCATCTCCATGCTGAGGAATTTGAAGTGGTTTTCTGGAAAGTTATCTGTCTGCCTTGGTAAATGCGACAATGACAACTTGGTCGTAAACCTCACTTTTCTGCCTCCCTCGTGCTTCATTCATGGTCACAATGACAGCTGCATTGATGCCCATTGCTACTCCGGCGCTTCTTACGTCGCTAAGGAATCAGCCACATGTTCCCAAGCATGCTTGGTATTTCATTGCTGCTACGACTCTGACCATACTGAATCGGCCAGATGAGATACCGCAAGTCTACAATCATGTCATGAAACACGGCCTCGGTCCTGATGATGTGAAGCCGGGCCCGGAGGAACAGCTCACAATTTTGAGGAAGCTACGTGAAGCACTCGTCAAGGCTTCTGCAGTTGGGGGCCTGCCCAAGGTACCGATTTCATACTGTATCTCTCTATTGAAAACAGTCACTGACATGAAGTAGACCATCAATTCTCTCATGGAGTTGAAGAAAGTGACACCGGAGCACCTACTGGATGAGCCGCAAGGTGCGAATGATCCGCTTTCTTCATCGCCAACTGCACGGCATGTGGACATACATCACACGCCCTCTTCCAAGATCTTGCAGCGCGGCCAGGGCTTCTGGGATAACATCTACGGCAAGATATCGAGACGGGTAATGAGTCAGATGGACCGCTCGGGCACGGAAGACCTCGGTTTGACCGCCCGGCTGATGTATGGGTACATACTCAGCAATACCAACGTTTTGTCTCCAGTAGAGACATCCTACGTTCTCATTGCCGGGCTGATACCGCAGGATGTGAATCCTCAGCTAAAGGGTCATCTCAAAGGCGCTCTCAACGGCGGCGCATCTGCCGAGGAGGTGAGGGCTGTGAGAGGCATCGTCATGGACATATGCAAAGCTTCAGGCATGAGCCAACTCGGTGATGGTGTACCTGGTGGATGGGGCTGGCGAAGCGAGGTTGCAACTGTATGATGGCTATGTATGCTACAAGGCGAGATAGACGGGGCGACGGTATGGCAGTGAAGACTATCTCGATATAGAGACTTTAGAGTGGCTAAGTCACATCAAGTGACAGCGTGTGACAGTAAAAAAGCCCTCACGAGGCTTCCCAGCACCGAGGAAAGCCTCGTGGTAGGCAGAATGATATGCTTCCTGCAACACATCACACATCGCGATACTGGGGATGAGGCTCGGCGGGCAATCAAGAGGTTCCGCCGCGGTCACAATTCCGCAATAGACGAGGCCGGAAGCGATACACTTAGCGACGAGAGCACGGCGAAGATTGACTGGCCCACAAACGCTGGCACCCAAGTGTTCGAGTTGAGTTATGATATTTGTGTTCCCGTGATATGATAGACCGTAGTACGAACGGAGCCAGCTGCCGCGCTGCAGGGCATGGGGGTCAGTCGTGGACGGTGGCCCTGCCCTGCCTGCATTGCATACATACATCACCCATACACACTCACATACGGCCGTAGGCAAGCTTCTTGGATACGGACGGGGGGGTTCTCATGGATACCTATTGAAACCCGTTGTATAGAGCCTTGTCCCTCTCCAAGCGAACCAGCTGTCAGCATGGGGAAGAGATACCTGGCTGCTACGGGCTCCCTATGTCGTGCAACCCTCCCCCATCCCCAAAGATTGGCGCTGGGTTTCCGGGCCACACAATGGGTTCGCGCCGTGGAGATCAGTACATCGCGTACAGCAGCATACTCTGTAGGGAAGGTCGTAGCTTGACCGGGATGGTGGGCTGCCAAGCTAACTCTACCCATGAACACCAACCACACGCATAGTGTATACACACCCATGAAAGGAGTTGAGGGCATCACCAGCAGCTCCGACGCCGAAGTCCGAGGAGTGCGATTGATACACACACCAAGATTCGCGCCCCAAGCCGGATACGGCCACTGGATGCAACAGCACCATCATCCCAGGCATTTTCCCTCTTGAGAATGGCACCCCTAGAGCCCCTGCATTTCTGTCTGTCCGTGGCTTCTGCTTGGCTACCACTCGGGTGGAGAGTTGCGAGAAAGGCAGGGCTACTCAGGCAAGCCAAAGGCGACGGGGGGGACCTGGTTCTCTTGAGTGTGCATTTGCGGCTTGCCAGGCACCATGGCACTGGCACCCCCCCGCGGTTAAGGGAAGAAGAAACAATGACAGAATTGGCGTGTCGATCTTTTCAGTCTTTTCCCTGCCCAGGGAGCACCCCTCTGCGCGAGGTTCAAGGATCGACATTGTATCCGTACGAATACCGACTTAGCGACCTCTCTTTCTCCAGGCATTTCCCGTTTCCCTGCTGTCACGCCTCTGTCTGTTATTTCAACCACACCTTTGGGAGTCTCGACGACAGAGGGGGCAGCGATTCGCTCGGGAAAGGATGTGCAAGAGTGGTCGGCGACCATCTTCCACCTCATCTTGCAGCGACTAATCTCGGATGGCTTTTCGTCCGGGAACATGAACATCATCTCCATGCCTGCTCCCCTGTCACCCCATGCCCTTGTCTGTCTTGGACTCCGACTCTGATTCCGATCTTTAGCTACCAAGTCTCTCAACGACATCAAGTCATCTGTAGCGCCGGATTTAATACGATTTTGATCATTCAAGGGAGCCGCGAAATGATGCTCATCGCCGGTGAAATGTGACAATGTCAAAATACTTGGCCGCCCCGGTTCGCCGCCGGCTGCTCGCTGGTAATCTACCCGCCACCTACTCATCCATGATGCTGTTCTTCGGCAGTGGAGCGCGAAGGATTGAGACTATCGATTTGGTCTGGTCACGACTGTCCAGGACTCCAGGTTTCCTCATCCATCTACCGGCCATGTCAACCCGTCACACTTCCAACCCAAGTTCCCACCTCACACGTGCCTTTCCGCTTCCGCCTCCGACCCCGACTCCTGCATAATCGCCCGTACCAGCCTCGGCCTGCCTCGCCTCGCCGTCGGTGTAGTCTTTGCAGAACATCCCACGCCGCGCCTCTCCCATCCCCGCAGCAGCGAGGGTATCGCGAGCGAAGGAGGGTCCGGGGGGATGGACAGACTCGTCTAGATTCACAACTGATTCAACGACCACGCCGGGCTTTCCTCTCAGAGCTAACAAGCTAGACCCGAATACTCTACGCGAAGCCCGCCATCGTGTGCTTCAAGCTTCTTCCCGCGCTCGCCTACAAAGGCGACCCCTGCGCAATCATCAACACGTGGTTTTGGACGAGCCTAGGGCCTTTGAGGCAACTTTGATCCGTCTCGAGTGGCATTTCGTCGTCTAGCCTCGCGGCCACGGCAGCAGACCCCCTTCGGAGGGGGAAAAAAAGCCTTATCCCGCCCGCAAGTTGCAACCCTTCGAAATCGTCGGGAGGCGGGCGTGGCGCCGGTCAGAACCCGCTGCTTCGGGTCCTACAACACACTTGGGGTTGTGAGACCCGTTTGCGATTTTTGCGTTGTTTGGTTTTCCAACGCCCGTTCATTGCCTCTTAACACTGCGGCTTCTTTGTTTTTGATTTCTGCACAGAGGGGCGGGCAAAATAAACCCAGCCTCAACTCCCAAGGTTCCAACTCAATCTCTCTTGGCGTTTTTTTGCCGCAAGTGTCTAGAATCTAGATGCCGTATAGCCACGATGCGTTCCTTTTCTTCATCTAAACTCTACTGGCCCCTCTAGCCCACAGACTAGCCTAGCACAGGCACAGATGGCAAAGGGAAAGCAAGGGGACGGGCGAGGCAGAAGAAGACTTCGACGTTTTGCTCATTGTCTCTGTGCTGACCCGACCTCTCGGGCGTGTGTGCGTCCAAGGACTAGTCAAAGCCCGCGTTTCCCCTCGGGTCTAGACCTATTTCCCTCCACCCCTTTCAACGGTATCATCGTACCTAAGCCCATTGTTTGGGGGATTAGTGAGAGGGAGAGGAGAGGCGACTCGCGTTTGGGGAACTACCCTTACGCTGGCTTAGTGGCCTTTTTCTGTCCCTTAGCAGAAGCCGGCGTGACGCCTCTTTTTGCTGGGATGCATGTGTTAGTCCCGAGAGTCTGGGTGCTTCGGACCCAAGACTGCGGTAATGGCAGATGGATACCATCACGGGTAGCTTTGCCTTATTTCGCCTTCGCTCAAACGCTGGGGGCGGACAAAATCTCCCGGCACTGTTGCTGTTTGTGGTCACTTTTCATCTCGCACGTACGATCTAGTCCCCGAAGTTACACGCGGCGAGCAAGGACGGCAGTCTCATCTGAAGCCAAGGGTCCACCCGTGCTCTCGGTCGACGGTCGAGTCATCCTGGATTCTCTAGAAGTGCCGAGAGATGCTTGATGTTTTCTTCGGTTCTTTCCCCCGTTGCTATGCATCGCAGAGAAGAGGGGGTGGTGCGATATGGGACGACGCCACGAGGAACCACCTCACAAAGAAGCAAAGTCCGACAACGCCGGTATCTCAAAGGCGTTTGTTGGACACTAGTAAAAACTTCTCGTTTGTTACCCTGTCACAAGCCATTGTGCTTCGTCCCTACTGCAAGTAGAGGTCCCCGATGTTACCACTCAGGCGCCCACTTGCCAGTCTATCTCATCACACTTCACCAAAACCGCTATCATATTCTGCAACGCTTAGTACGGCGCCAAAAACAAACCAGCCAAGTGGCCGGCCACTCTTTCTATGGTTCAAGGACCGTGGAAAAAAGTTGGGGCGGTATACCTACCTAGAGCGCTCGAGCGGAGTGAGACACCTGCAAGGCCGGGGCGTTTGCAAAATTGACGGCAGAGACCACGCGCCACGTCGTGTAGAGAAACCTGGCCGGTCAAAGACCTCAACTTCCAGTTCCTCGTGGCAAGGCCTTGGTGGTCTAGAATACTGGTGCGGGTTTATCACAAGGTGGAAAGGCCAGGCCAGGCTTTGTTTTTGGCATGAAAACAGTGTTGTATCAAACGACTGTTCCGCCACCCCTCTCGCACTCCGAGATAAGCTGTCCTTCGTGCGACGATGTTGTCAAGCGTGAAGATTCTTCTTGAAACTCAAGCCCAGTGGGCTGGCAAAAAAAGAAATAGCACATCTTCAAGCCGGTCTTATATCTCGATAGTATCATACTATCTTATGCCAGGCTTCGGACTCTTCTTTATGGCTGAGACGGAAGGAATAGCAGTAGCCATGCAAGTCCGCAACTCCGGGCTGGACCAATTGTGGCACCCGGAGAGAAAAGAAGATGGTTGTCTCTAAAGACTTAGGCTCATCGTCCATCTTTCCTCCCCGGCCCGTTGGAGGGGAACCAAGGCACGGCAGGATCTGCTGGTGGTGTGTGTGTGTGTGTGTGTGTGTGTGTGTGTGTGTGTGAGTGTGTGAGTGTGAGTGTGTGCCTTTTTGGTATCGTCGATGGTGGTTTACTTTGTTAGTGATTTCTCGCCTGGTTAAGCTAGGGTGATTGGGCTGCGTTGGTTCCTATCAGCAAGGGTTTTCCTCTCGCGGGAAGCGCCTCTCGAACCGGGCTGTTGGGAAAATTCAGTCGTTGAGTGTGAGACTCAACGTACGGCAGCGACATCACCATGAAGAGGCCTTTTTTCGTGTGTTCCTGCTTCTGTGATAAGGGTAATACGGCAGATATGGATTACAGTTCGCTATTGTGTAACAGTAGACTCTCCATGCAGACAAAAACAAACACAACCATTAACCCAAGATATCACCATGGTCACCGAGAGGTCCCGGCTACCTACCCGCGGCGCCTCCATCTCACTCTTGCAGGCGCTACGGAGATATTTTTTCCTTCCTCAACTGCGAAAACCGGAGAGAGGGTAGAAACTCCCCGAAATAGGGGTCCGGGCGGGTTGATCCATCACCAACACCCGCCCGCTGCCGGCAGACAGTAGACACAGGTATCACGGCGTCTGGGCTGGGCTGGGCTGGGCTGGGACTGGGCTTGCTTCCCGCCTCACACACGCACACATCTCTTTTTCGTGGCACAGGGACGGCGTCTGGACGGCCTGGTATAGGAGGGGAGAGTGAGTG